ATAGAAAAAAATTAGCTGGACAACTAATACATATATATATATTATACACACACACATATATATATATATAAAGTTAGCAGGGCATGGTGGCACATGCCTGTAGTCCCAGCTACTCGGGAGGCTGAAGCAGGAGGATCGCTTGAGCCCAGGAATTTTTTTTTTTTTTTTGAGACTGAGTCTCACTCTGTTGCCCAGGCTAGAGTGAGTGCCATGGCATCAGCCTAGCTCACAGCAACCTCAATCTCCTGGGCTCAAGTGATCCTCCTGCCTCAGCCTCCCGAGTAGCTGGGACTACAGGCATGTGCCACCATGCCCGGCTAATTTTTTGTATATATATTTTTAGTTGGTCAATTAATTTCTTTCTATTTTTGGTAGAGATGGGGTCTCGCTCTTGCTCAGGCTGGTTCTGAACTCCTGACCTCGAGCAATCTGCCCGCCTCGGCCTCCCAGAGTGCTAGGATTACAGGCGTGAGCCACCACACCCGGCCCGAGCCCAGGAATATGAGGTTGCTATGAGCTAGGCTGCCACTGCACTCTAGCCCAGGCAACAGAGACTCTGTCTCAAAAAACAAAAACAAAAAAACCCCAAAAGTACAAATACTGAAAATAAACATTTTGAGAATTTACCACTCTGTGGGATGGACTAAATCAGCAATCTGCAATACTGGAAAAGTGGCTAGGTGACCTCAAAGACAAGTAAACACCAATTGTTCAAATGCAAACAGAAACCAAAGAATAAAACTTACAGAGACCCATGGGACGGCACGTGGGACCGAGATGTGGGAGGACACCCAGGGCTGACTCGTGTGACAGGAGACGCGGGAGGACACCCAGGGCTGTGACTCGTGTGACAGGAGACTCGGGAGGACACCCAGGGCTGTGCTCCTGTGACAGGAGACGCGGGAGGACACCCAGGGCTGACTCGTGTGACAGGAGACGCGGGAGGACACCCAGGGCTGTGCTCATGTGACAGGAGACGCGGGAGGACACCCAGGGCTGACTCGTGTGACAGGAGACGCGGGAGGACACCCAGGGCTGTGCTCATGTGACAGGAGACGCGGGAGGACACCCAGGGCTGTGCTCGTGTGACAGGAGACGGCGGGAGGACACCCAGGGCTGTGCTCTGTGACAGGAGACACGGGGGAGGACACCCAGGGCTGTGCTCATGTGACAGGAGACTCGGGAGGACACCCAGGGCTGTGACTCGTGTGACAGGAGACGAGGGAGGACACCCAGGCTGTGCTCATGTGACAGGAGACGCGGGAGGACACCAGGGCTGTGCTCGTGTGACAGGAGACGCGGGAGGACACCCAGGGCTGACTCGTGTGACAGGAGACGCGGGAGGACACCCAGGGCTGTGCCCGTGTGACAGGAGACGCGGGAGGACACCCAGGGCTGTGACTCGTGTGACAGGAGACTCGGGAGGACACCCAGGGCTGACTCGTGTGACAGGAGACGCGGGAGGACACCCAGGGCTGTGACTCGTGTGACAGGAGACTCGGGAGGACACCCAGGGCTGACTCGTGTGACAGGAGACGCGGGAGGACACCCAGGGCTGACTCGTGTGACAGGAGACTCGGGAGGACACCCAGGGCTGTGCTCGTGTGACAGGAGACGTGGGAGGACACCCAGGGGCTGGACTTCGTGTGACAGGAGACTCGGGAGGACACCCAGGGCTGACTCTGGTGACAGGAGACGCGGAGGACACCAGGGCTGTTGACTCAATCTCAGGCAGGAGGATCGCTTGAGCCCAGGAGTTTGAGGTTGCTGTGAGCTAGGCTGACGCCATGGCACTCACTCTAGCCTGGACAACAGAGTGAGACTCTGTCTCAAAAAAAAAAAAAAAAGGCCAAACTGCACAACAGTGACACCAACAGATGCTGGTGGGGACGTGGAGCAACAGGAACTCTCGTTCACGGCTGGCGGGAACGCACGTCCTAGGGCAGCGCTCCTTGCTGTTTACCCGCACGGGCTGGAACCCCGTCCAGACAAAACCCCGCACGTGTGCTTTCTAGGAGCTATACTCGTAACTGCCGAAACTTGGAAGCAACTGGTGTCCTTCAGCTGGTGAGGATAAACAAACTGGTGCAGCCAGCCGAGTATTATTCAGCGAGAAAACGGGTAAGCTGTCAAGCCGTGAAGAGACGATGTGTGCAAAATCAACAAATCTCAACAGGCTACACGCTGCGTGCACGCAGCAAGGCACGTCCTCAAACACTGCTCAAAACCAGTGACACAGAGAAAAGTCTTAAAGCAGTCAGAAGAAAAAAGTCAAGAGAAGACTCGCTGCTGGGAGCAGTGCAAACCGGGAGACAGAGCCCCTGTCCAGTCCCGGAGGTGGCCCCCGCCTCTCCTCCCTCTGCCTCCCAGCGGGCAGCCACCACAGGGAGCTGCCTGCGCCCTGAGCCTGCCCAGCTCCCCCCGCTCCGTACCCTCAGCCCCTGCTTCCAGGAGGCTGCCCGAGCACCCCCGCCCCGACGCGCCCCTGCTCACCCCCATCATCACGCCCGAGCTTTCCAGTTTGCAACGGCCCCGCCTGCGGTCGCACCCATCCCGGACCCCTGCAGGCCCAGGGCCCACTGGAGACGACGACTGACCTGCACTCCCAGCCCCTCCTGACCCAGCAAGAGGCACCCCCTGGGCTTCAAACCAAGTTTAATAAATAAAACAGCAAGAGGGGTTCAAGGCAGTTATCACTTCACAGTGTGGTCCTTGGTGGGGGTGAGGGGTGGCCGAGTCCAACTCTGCAAAGGGCTCGAGTGAACAACACTCTGGACGACGCCAGGCCGGGCGGGCTGCCCTGCCCCCAGGACCTCACTCCAACTTGTAAACAGAAACATAAATAAAACAAAGGAGGCGGGAAAGAGGAGGACAAGGACCCCAAACCACCTTGCTGGGAAGCTTCCAACAGAAAGACCTACAGGGTCAGGGAACAGGCTGGAGTCCAGCCCCTCGGCGTCGCCAGAGGCTCCCTGCCTTGGTGCCAGGGGAGGGGCAGCGGGGGTGCAAGTCACCCGTCTCCTCCACCCACGCCGGGGCTGCCGAGGGGCCCCAGCCGGACTATGATCGGGGACCAGGGCTGGAGAGGAGGAGGCAGGTGGGGTGTAAAGTGCGGCTTTTCCTGAAGTGGAGACGACAGGGGCGGGGGTGGGGCCGGGTGGGGGCAGACAGCGAGGTATATGGCTCTGTGCCCCCAGGATTTGGCACTGAGTAGCAGCTGCCCGCAGACCCCACGGCCTGGCCGGGGTGGGGAGACAGAGCAAGCGGGGCTGAGGGCGCCCTGGGCAGAGGCTGCTGGTGCGGGTAGGGCGTCCTGCCGTCTCCCTGGCCTCTGCTGGCTGGACAGGCCCCGGCGGCAGCTCTGCCCTGCATCCGAGGGCCGGGCCCTCTCCGTACCCACTGCCGGGTGGTGAGTCCATGGGGCGCAGCCTGGAGCCAGGTGGCAGTGCCGGGCGCTGATGGCAGGGGCCCACGTGGCCCTGGTCCAGTCTGTGTGGAGAGGGGCGAGGGCCGGAGGCCCGGCCACCTCGCCCTGGTCCTGACGTGTTCTGAAGCAGAGAAGGCGCTGCCCCAAGGCCCGAAGGGGGAAGGGGTCAGGAAGACTGACACGGCCGGCTCGGTGGCAGCGCCAAGTCCAGTCCCGGCCACGCACGCCCACCCACGCCAGGAATCAACAGGTCATCACGTTACAGCTACAGAGGAGAGACGAGAGGACCAGAGAGGTCAGTGCGGCGCCCACGCAGCCCGGGCGCCCAGCCCCACCTCCCCCGAGAGCCTGACCGGACCAGGCGGCAGTGCCCGGTTCACCCCACTGTGCCCTCTGCACTCTGAACCCTGTGAATATGTCATCTAGTCAAAAAAATGTATCAAACGAAAAACAGAAAACTGAAGGAACAGAGCTCGCTCCATGTGGCCACACTGCTCCTCAGCTGAGCCCCCAAACTAGGGGGGGGGCGGGGCGGCACTCACTGTGACAGGGGCTCCGCGTGCAGCCCGGGTGCAGGGCACGCTGGGTGGGCGGCCAGGAAGGGATTCACGTCCCCAATGCCGATGAGTCCAAACTCGGTGACCGACAAGGCCACCTGTGCGGGGGCCACAGCCTCCTCGGGATCCCCGCTCAGATCCACGCGGCTGGAGATGAGGGGCAGCTCCTCGGGCAGGGCGAAGTCCACGGCCAGTCTCGGGCTGGCGTCTGGCTCTGGAGTGGCGGTGGCTGGCGGGTACGAGGCTGGGTCGGCCAGGGCTGGGGGCCGCCTGGGCAGGGGCACGGCAGGGGGCTCATCCAGCTGCTGCGACGGGCAGGGCGCCGGCTCCGAGGGTGGGAGGCCTGCAGTGCCCACACCAGGCTCGCAGAGACCGCCGGCCGCGCCGTCCACGTTCAGTGGCTCTGTGGGGAGAGGACAGCTGAGAGCCGGGCCAGCCACGCGCCAGGCCCCACAGCCTGCCGAGGTGCAGAAGAACCCAGAGGACGCAACTCTCTTAGAATCACGCTTGTGCTGGCCAGGCCCAGTGGCTCACGCCTGTAATCCTAGCACTCTGGGAGGCCCAGGAGGGAGGATCGCTCAAGGTCAGGAGTTTGAAACCAGCCTGAGCAAGAGCAAGATCTTGTCTCTACTAAAAATAGAAATTAGTAGAGTTGTCCAAATTAATTGGACAACTAAATATATATAAAAAAAATTAGCCGGGCATGGTGGCACATGTCTTTAGTCCCAGCTACTCGGGAGGCTGAGGCAGAAGGATTGCTTAAGTCTGGGAATGTGAGGTTGCTATGAGCTAGGCTGATGCCACGGTACTCTAGCCCAGGCAACAGAGTGAGACTGTCTCAAAAAAAAAAAAAAAAAAAAAAAGAAAGAAATTAATTGGCCAACTAAAAATATATAGAAAAAAAAATTAGCTGGGCATGGTGGAGTATGCCTGTAGTCAGTCCCAGCTACTTGGGAGGCTGAGGCAGGAGGATCACTTGAGCCCAGGAGTTGGAGGTTGCTTGAGCTAGGCTGATGCCACTGCACTCCAGTCCAGGCAACACTTGTGCTCCAGGCTGTGACCCATGCAGGGCTCCTGCCTAACCTCAGTCGGGTCCACTGAAGCCTCTGGACCCCGCCTCAAAAAAGGCGTCCACATGTGCACAAAATACGCATTGGCACAAAAGCAGCCCGTTATTATGAAATCTGCAGACACCCCAGGTTAGTGGCCCCAGCCTTGGAAGGTTGTAAAATCAACCGAGTGGGTCATGACCCACATCTTTAAAAACAACAGAATAGGACAGATAGAGATTTTAAAATGCCGGAGGCGCTGCACAGCAAGGGCAAACGCTGATTCTGCGGCGGTTCTGTTCCAACGTGCAGTGCACGGGCGCCTACGTGCAGATCTGGGAACCAGGCAGTCACGGACACCTCTGGGCAAACCATGGGACCAACCAGTTTCTGGAAACAGGTGTCCCTCACCAGACTTGACTACCTAAGCAAACAAACCCGTGGCCCTCGCAGGTCACTGTCAAAAACTGAGCATCCGCCTGCAGCCGGTTCTCCCTCCTGCAGGGCCGGCGGGCCAGACGCTGGGCAGGGCTCAGAGATGCTCTGGTCCTGCCCCACAGCCTCGTGCCTGGGGATCAGCACCCCCACTCCGCCTGGGGCCTCGAGGGGTGGGGCCGTGCAGCTCCCTCCAGCAGGCCCAGAGGATGGCGTGGGTGACCCATCCCTCCTCACAGCAGGGGTGGGGGGCAGCACTGACGCCCACCGGGCAGACGCCCACTCCTCAGGGTGCCGGGGAGGAAGGCCCCCATCCTCATGCTCCCAGACCAGCTGCTGCCCCACGGCTCACCTGTGCGCAGCCCCGCCAGGGCGTCTTGCTCAGGGCGTGCGCGGCCAGGGCCGTCAGGGTCGCTGCCGTCCAGGTCCTGGTCAGTGTCCCTGTGGGGAGAGGGTGCCATGAGGGGCAGGCGGCAGGGAGGTGGGCACCCCACCCGGGAGGCCACCAGGTGCCCCGCCTCGCCCACCCCCAGCCACAGGGGGGCAGCCGCCGCGCCGTTACTGCTGAGAGCAGCGCTGCACGCACGTGGTTCCGGACGGGACGTACTTCCTCCGGCCCAGCCGCGTCTGCTGGGCGAAGTAGTCATAGCGCTCCGACTTCTTCCACAGGTAGTAGTACTCCACGCACTCGCCCACCGACCGCGTGCGCACCTGTAGAATGGGTCGGGCATCGTCGCGGCCCCTACCTGCCAGTCCCCGCTCCAGGATGGCACCTCGGGCCCCCAGGACAGCACTCATGGGCAGAGCACCTGCCGTGCAGACAAAGTGAGACCCCCACGGCCTCCTCAAGCCCCATCGGGGGCCACAGGTGTCCCTGCTGCGGGGGCTCGTCCCTCATCTGAAGCCCTCTGGTGCTGTCTCCTGCCGCAACCCCCACCAGAGCCCCTCCTGCCTGGGACCCCTCGCTCCCCTTTTACAGAAGCGACAACACAAACGAACCCTCCAAGCTCCCAGGCCAGGGCCAGCCTCCCAAATCCCAGACCACGGCTCCCAGGATGGCTGTGCCTGCCTGCTGCCCCCACAGCCGGGCTCGGGGTAGCAACGAGGACCCTGGGGCTCAGGGATGTGACACCCAGGGAGCCTGCTCTCCTGCTGCCACACCACCCTGGCGTTCTGCGTGGAGACCTCCTGAGCCTACACGAGACACCATGGAAGGACACACGTGGATTCTGTGAAGCCCAGACTCAAGGTGCTATTTATGATGTGGCACCCACACACAGCGAGTGCGTGTTCACACTCAGGGTCTGACACGGAGCCGACGCACATCTGGAGGCGCCATCTGCGCCCTGCGGGCTGTGCAGGGCGGCCCAGGGCGCCGGTGCATCTCCGAGAGGGAGGCTGGTGCCACCGCAAACCCAGGGCTGTGCCCACAGCTGGCAACCACAGAAAAGATCCCCACGTGGACAGCCTCTGGGCTAGCAAACCTGCTGCCAACCAAAAGGAGGGATGACGACACTGGGACCGACCTTGGAGAACCACACGAGGACCCGTCTGGCTTGGCCAGGCCTGCCTGGGAACAAGTCTGAGGCAAGCTCTCTTGGGGTCACATTTTAAAGGCACCAAGGGAGGTTTTCCAGAAAGGGCCAAGTGGAAAATACTTTAGGCTTCATGGGCCACACGCCCCCTGCCAATGCGTGTGCCGACCAACACATCCTGTCACAGACGCAGCCAGTCTGGCTGACCTGCTCGGTGGACATGACCCGCTGAGGTCTAACAGGAGGGTCAGCTGTTGCCTGGCACGGCACTGGGCACTGTCACCCGAGCAACCCCTGTCCTCTACAACCAGGTCTTTGGAGGAGAGAACTGGACCCGGGTCCTTGGTCCCCAGGGTAGCAGGCAGAGGTGGGGGCCGGGCTGGGGCCCCGCTGTGGGGTCCCTGCAGGGCACCGAGCCAGCCGGCTCTGCTCAGAGGACACGGAGAGGAAAACGCGGTGCCCATGACCTTGGGGTGGAGCACGAGACAGGAACGACTACTAGAATTCGCCTTTTGGCAAATTCTTTCCCAAAACTGAAGGCTTATGCTCTTGGTGACTGGCAGGGACCCAGGAAAGTCGGCAGAGGAGACCTGGGCAAGAGACCAACAGGCACGTGGCAAGGTGTGGATGCGAGGGCTCCAGGCCTTGGCTGTGTCTGCCATGAGCCTGCTCACCCCACCTGCTGCCAGGAGTGGAAGGTGAGGGTACCAGGTCTTCCCAGACCAAAGGGCCCTGGGGGAGCCAGACGGGGTGCCGTGCTCACCTTGTTGGCCTGGATCAGGTGGAAGTTCTTCCCGTGCACGCGGAAGCCGTGCTCAAAGCTCCCGCACTCCTCCTCGCTCCAGGCACACAGCCCATCTGCAAACAGGGCCAGGCGGGCGGGTCAGCCATGCCCGGGGACAGCGCTGGGGGGGGCCGGGCTGTGGCTCACCTCTGACCACCTTCACATTGAACCGCAGCCTTCGCAGGGCCTCCTCCACGTTGAAGTTGCATTTCACCAGCTCGTACAGCGCCTGCGGGCAGATGTGATTCTTCCTGATCACCCCAGGAGCCAACAGCAAGGCACACCGACGCCACCGCCCCCGGGGGTGACAAGGAGTATCTACACCACCCGCCCCCAAGTGACATGGGATGTCTATGCCACCACCCAGGGGTGACACAGGGGTGTCTACACCACCTGCCCCCAGGTGACATGGGATGTCTATGCCACCATCCCAGAAGTGACATCAGGGAGCATCTACAACTCCTCCCCAAGTGGATCTGAGTAACGCCCATGCTGGACACGCTGGGCAGGTGGCCCCCTCCCGACCTGGCATAGCTGCTCCAGCCCCTAGCCCACCCCCAACCCGGCCTGTCCCCTCCCCTCACTCTGCCCTGCCTGGCCCCTGTAGGCAGCAGCGCTGCGACCCCTGGCTCAGGGTGCTCCAGCCCCACAGCCCCCCATGCGGGCCCCCACCTGCTCACTGTCTTTCACGGCTTCTCCCTCTGGGAGCTGAGACCCAGCCATCTCGTGCCACCTCCGCTTCACCGCCCTGTACAGGAACTCCTCCACCTCCCTCTCGGGAAGGACGCTGGGGTCCCAGAGCAGCTGGTCTTCGTTCTCATAGACTGCACACGAAGAGGGCAAGGGTCACGTTGCAGGGCATACCCTGCTCTGCACCCAGGACGAGCAGGGTATGCCATCTCAGCAACGCCAGGCAGGGGACAAGCACTACTGTACTCCTCCCTCATCTGCGGCCTGGGCCTGGTGCTGCTGAACTGGATTCAATGGAACCAGCAGGTCCAGGGAGGGCTCTGGGCACCCAAACACAGGCTGAGAGACCACCAGGCCCAGAGTGGTCAGGGTGACAGCACGACGCGGGAAGCTGTGGGCAGCCTGCAGGGGTGCCTGATCCAGCCAGGGGTCAGAGGCGACTTCTGAGCAAGGACTTTGGGGACGGGCACGTCCCAAGCTCTGTGGGGTGAGACTGGCTCAAGACTGCGTAGTGGCCGGACTCGGTGGCTCACGCCTGTAATCCTAGCACTTTGGGAGGCCAAGGCGGGCAGACTGCTCAAGGTTAGGAGTTCAAAACCAGCCTGAGCAAGACCCCATCTCTACTAAAAATAGAAAGAAATTAATTGGACAACTAAAAATATATATAAAAAAAAAAATTAGCCGGGCATGGTGGCACATGCCTGTAGTCCCAGCTACTCAGGAGGCTGAGGCAGGAGGATTGCTTGAGCCCAGGAGTTTGAGGTTGCTGTGAGTTAGGCAGACGCCATGGCACTCACTCTGACTCTGTCTCAAAACAAACAAACAAAAAAAAGACTGCGTAGTAACGAGAGCACCGGGTGCACAGAGGCCTGAGGGAGCAGCAGGGAGACCCCAGATTCAGTTAAGGCAGCTGAGACCTGGATCCCACAGACAAGAGGGCCAGCTCGGGGAGGAGCTCCCACAGGTGACATCCCAGCCGCAGGTGCAGCAGCCACTCTAAGAGTGTACATCGCCACGGGGAAGATGTCCGGCTCACAGTGGCTGGTAGGGGCGGCAGACACCCTAAGAGAGGGTTGGAAGAGAAACGAACTCTGGGTGCAGTCGGCTTTCAGCACAGGGAGGGGCAGCCTCCCGCTGGGGGACACTGGCTGGGGACAAGGCAGGAGGGAGAGCTCCAGGCCCGGCCTGGGAAGGTCCAAGTGCCAGCCCCTCTCGATCACCCAGGAAAGAGTCACAGGAATCAAAAACTAAACCAAACCAACCAACCAAAAGCAAATAAAACCATCACCTTGGAAGAAAAGTGAAAAATACATTCAAGATAACTGCTCCAGTCTGGAAAGTCTCTACTGCTGGGGAACTGACACAGCAACAAACAACTCCTGGGCTGGTGCCACGCCAACCCAAGCAGCGGCCTCTCCTGGTGCCCACAGCCCCTGGGGGAAGAGCGCGCAGACTGGCCACCTCCCTCATCTCCACAGTCAACACCTGAGGCCCTGCCTGGACTCGGTGGTCCCCAAGAAAAGAGCAGCACATCTCTGGAGAAAAGTAACATCGCCACAGCCTGGCACGCGAAGGGCAGGGAAATGTGCGAGAAAATCATGAACAACTCAGGCCCACAAACGGCTGGATGTCAGAGCCCGCAGACAAGGGCTTTAACACAGCTACAATCAAGATGTTAAGGACCACAGAGAAAAAGGACAAAACAGATGAAAAGCTCGAGAATTCCAGTAGAGATCTGAAATTTATACAAAAGACATTCTCAGGCTAGACAACACCCGAACATATGAACCCACTGAGCGGCTTTAGCAGTAGCCTGGGCATGGCACAAGACGGAATTAGTGAAATCAAAAAGAAACCAATTTTTAAAAACCACAAAACTGAAGAATAAATGGAAAGAACATAATTTAGGAGATGCATAAGATAGTCGAACACCCTAGGATGTGTGTAAATGACTTAGAAGAAGAAAAGAATGAGGCAGAGCAAAACCTGAAGAGATTAATGGCCAAGAATTCTCCAAAATTTGATGAATGACACCAACTCATGGAGCCAGAAAACTCGGGATAAACAGAAAGAAACACAAGGATGCATGTAGATGGGCATATCATAGTCATGTTGCTAGAAAAAGAGAAAGAAAAAATTTCAAAAGAATGCGGAGGATAAAAGGCAAAACAATTTCAAAGGAAGGAGTAGGACAGACTTCTGACTTTTTAACAGAAACAGCAGCAGCCAAAGGACAGTGGAATGAAACTGTTTGCATGTTGAAAGAAAAAAATCCTTCAAACCTAGAAAAATATGCCCATGAAAATATTCTTCTAAAAATGAAAGCATAATCAAGACTTTTCAGATAAAGCTGAAAGAATTCCTCACCAGCATCCTAGCATGAGGAATATGAAAAAGCAAGTTCTTCAAGCTGAAAGACATGATCCCAAATGGAAGCTAGAGGTAGCACGTGGATAATACCAAGAACGTTACTGTTTAAAACAACGTTGTGATCTTGTGCTGTACAGAAAGAATGACGGTTAACTGAGTTACAGTGCTTCTTGCATTGTAGGGGAATTAGAATGTCCTTATTTAAAACAGACTGATAAGTAAAGCTCATTCATATCGCAACCTCTAGGGTAAGTACTGAAAAAGTTAATACAAAAACTAAAACTTATGAGCTGAAACAGGAAGAAAAAATAGAGAAAAATTATTTGATTAATCCAGAAGACAAGAAAAAAATAAAAGAACAAATGGAACACACAGAAAGCAAAGAACAATTTACCAAAGATGGTAAATTAAGCCCAATTGTTTTCATAATTACATGATACACAAGTAATCCAAAAAGTATAAATGGACTAAAAACTCTATTAAAAGACAAAGATTATCAGACTGAACAAAAAATAAGACCTAACTATGCCATTTACACAAAATACACTTCAAATATAACAGAATGAACCTGGGGCAGTGGCTCATGCCTGTGATCCCAGCGCTCTGGGACAATGAGGCAGGAGGATCACTTGATGGCAGGAGTCTGAGACCAGCCTGGGCAACGTAATGAGACCCCATCTCCTTAAAAAAAAGAAAAATTAGCCAGGCAAGGTGGCACATGCCTGTAGCAGGCTGAGGCAGGAGGATCGCTTGAGCCAGGAGTTCACTGCTGCAGTGAGCTATGATTGTGACACTGCACTCCAGCACAGGTGACAGCAAGACCTTGTCTGGAAAAAAAAAAGAAAGAAAAAAACAGAAAGACAGACAAAGAAAAGATAAAAAACAGAATGGCAAACAGTGAAAGGATGGGAAAAGACAAACCACACAAGCACTGAACAAACCAGTAAAAAGCTGGCATAGTCATATTTACAGCAGACTAGGGATTTTTTTTAAGGCAAGAAGTATTATGACACAGGGAGGGACATTTCGTAATGATAAAAGACAATTCAACATGAGGACGAAGCAATCTGAATGTGTATGCACCTAATAGTAGAGCTTCAACATAAAGTAAAAATTGACAGAACAATCTTTCTCAGTAGCTAACAGAACAAGCTAGAACCAACCATCAAAAAAAAGTGAGAATAAAGATGATATGACTAACAATCAACCAAGTTGATCTAACAGAAATCTACAGAAAACACCACCCAACAACTGCAAAACACACATTCTTTTCAAACACATGGAACATTTACCAAAATAAACTAAATACTGGCCACAAACTAATTTCAAACGGCTGAAATCAGAGACTACATTCTCTGACCACAGTGGGGTTCAGTTAGAAAGCAGTCAAAGACGGAAAACTAGAAAAACTCTAATGTTATGAAATTAAACTGAACATTTCTAATTAACCTATGGGTCCAAATAGATACACAATGGAAATTAGAAAATAACATTAAATTGAAATAAAGTGGAAGGAAATAAAGATAAAAACAATAATCAAACAGAAATCAGACAATAGAGAAAAATTAGTAAGACTAAAGTTAGTTCTTGATAAAAAGTAATAAAATTGAGAAATCCCAAATAAGACTGATCAAGGGGGAATTAAAAAAGAGAAAATGCAAATTGCCAGCATCAGGAGCCTCACAGGGGACACCCTGCAGACCCCATGGACACCAAGATAGCAGGAGGGCATTGTAACAGCGACACCAGCATGATGAACTCCGCAGAAATACAGTCTATCAAAACAGAAACTCAAAGGAGATCTCTATATGTTAAATAGATTGAATTCACAATTGAAACCTTCCACAAAAATAAAACAAAACTAAACCTCAGGCCCAGGCAGCTCCAAACCGTTTATAGAAATAATGTTACACAAATTCTTTTAGATGTTAGAAAAAGGCACACTTCCAAACACATTTCAGGAGAGCAGCATAACCCTGATACCAAAATCTGACAAGGACAAAAAAATGAAAGTATAGGCCAATATGTTCATGAATATACCTGCAAAAATCATAATTAGCAAATCAAAATAAGGAAGGAATGAAATATATGTCTGTTTTCATCAGTCTAGGTAGCTATGATCTACAAAGTCACTGCAAACAATGAGTTAGTCAATCACTGCTCCAGGGTTGGGTTCCAGTGAGCCTCTGATCAAAAAATGACCATTAACCAATCAATACATAAACTTGTTTTAGGTGTTTGTTTAAACATACCTTACTGAGCCTATATTGTTAATTCATTAACATTATGACTCGTGCCTGAAGTTTATCTAGCACACGTATTTTCTCTGTAAGGCACGTTGCAGCCTTCTTGAACTTAGGACACCAGATGACCTTCGGTACTACACTTAGGGGCCATTTTAAAAAATAAAATTGCCAAGACAACCCACAAAGATGTGAAAAACAGCACTGAATATACTGCAAAAAGGCACTTGCTTACAGAGCAAGCGCAGAAAGAGAACAAAGAGCACCACTGCTCACCTTGGCTGGGCATGTGCACACGGGCACTGCGCTTTTCCTTCCACTCTGCACCTGTGTGTGCCCGTGAACAACCCGAAAGTGCCACAACTATGATACTGGAGTCACAGGTAAGATCCAGCAAGTGGGTGAATCTGCACAAACGCAGGAGAAGGCACTTCACGCCCAGGCAGAGTTTCACTGAAAAGCAGTCACTGTGCTGCAGCGGTGCCTGACATTTTTGGCACCACGATGGGAGGCAGGGGTGTGTGTGTGTGTGTGTGTGCGCGCGCGCGCACGCGCGCGTGTGTGTGTGTGATGCGAGCAATGGGGAGCGGCTGTAAATACAGATGGAGCTTCCCTCACTTGCCCGCTGCTCACCTCCTACTGGGAGCCCTCCCCATTGCTCCCCAAGTTTCATGTAAGACAATTTTTTCACAGGAGCGGAGCTGGGGGAAAGGAGGGAGAGGAGCTCTGTGGCCCAGTCCCTAACAGTCCCTAATCAGTAGATGGGGACCAGGGACCGCAGATATAATATACTACATTAACACAATAAAAGAAAAAAGTCTCAATCCATGCAGAAAAAGCATTTAAATCCAACATTCATTCACGGCAAAAAACGTCAGCTAGTAGGAACAGAAGGGAACTTTCTTATCTGATAAAGTACCTACAAAACTTTACTGCCAACATCATACTTACTGGGGAAATAGTGAACACTCTTCCCAAGTCTGGGAGCAAGACAAGGATCTCTTCCATGACTACTTCTTTTCACCCTTGCACTGGACTAGCCAGTACAATAAGTCAAGAAACAAGAAATAAGAAAGGCTGGGCAACACAGCAAGACCCCATCTCCACAAAAAAACAAAAAAACTAGCTGGGCATGGTGGCCACACCTGTACCCCAGCTACCTGGGAGGCTGAGGTGGGAGGATCATCTAAGCCTGAGAGTTCTAGGCTGCAGTGAGCTGTGATCACTACAAGCTATGAGGTATGAGACCTTGTCTCAAAAAAAAAAAAAAGACAGAAAGAAAGAAAAGATATAAAAATTATAAAGAAAAAAGCAAAGCTATTGTTAGGAAATGAAATGATTGTGTAGATAAGCAAAAAGAATCTACAAAGTATTGAAATGAGTATTTTAGCAAAGTCACTAGGTATAGGATTAACTAAAACAATAAACTGCATTTCTACTAACATAAAGTAGAAAATGAAGTTTTAAAAAATATCCTTTATAACAGCACCAATAAGTAAGATTAATGGGATGTGCAAGACTGGTACACTGAAAACTATAAAATATTGCTAAAATTAAAGATCTTTTTAAAAAATTTCTTTTACATACAATGAAACATTTAAGATAAAGATCTTAATAGAGAGGTAAACCATATTCATGGACTGGAAGTACCAACATTGTTAATATAGCAATTCTCCCCCATATTAGTCTAAAAATTCAATGCAAGCCTAATCAAAATCCTACGTTTTTCTTGAGGCAACTGACAAACTAACCTTAAAACTTATATGGATATACAATGAAAACTTACAAAGTTGGAAGACTCCCATCTCCTTAGACTTACTTCAAAGCTGTAATAATTGAAACAGTATCATGATGACTCAGGGTTCCACAAGAGACTAATGGAACAGAAGCCCCCAAAACACACACATTACAGACGCTTGATTTATCACGAAGGCACCACTGCAATTCGGTAGGGGAGAGTGGACTTTTCAACATATGGTGCTGGAGCAGGTGCACATTCACACCGGGAGAAGAACCCTGAGCCCCTACCTCGTGCCATACATTAAAGATTAAATTAAGTTGGATCATAGCCTTAAATGTGACAGGGGAACTACTGAAGATTCTAGAAGGAAACACGGAAGAATATGTTTAAGACCTTAGGGGTAAGCAAAACCTCAAACACTACACAAACACATTATCGGCCAGGCGCAGTGGCTCACGCCTATAATCCTAGCACTCTGGGAGGCTGAGGCAGGAGGATCATTTGAACTAAGGAGTTTGAGACTAGCCTGAGCAAGAGCGAGATCCCTGTGTCTACCAAAAATAGAAAAAATTAGCCAGGTATGGTGGTGCATGCCTGTAGTCCCAGCTACTTGGGAAGCTGAGGCGGGAAGATTGCTTAAGCCCAGGAGTTAGAGGTTGCTGCAAGCTAGGCTGACGCTATAGCACTCTAGCCCGGGCAACAAAGCGAGACTCTGTCTACAAAAAAAACCCAATGAGTAAGATGTGCAACGTTTGGGGGATAGACACGTTTGAAGCTCTGACTCGATGGGGGAGGGGTGGCATAGGCAATATACATAACCTTAACACTTGTACCCCCATAATTCGCTAAATAAAAAAATAAAAAAACATTATTATTAAAATAAAGATAAGTTGGACTTTATTAAAATTAAAGACAGCAAATGAGTTCAAGGCAAGCCACAAGCTGGGAGAAAACACTGGCAGTGCACACAGGCAACAAATGACTTGTGTCCAGAACATGTAAACAACTCATACACATCTGAGAGATAAAGACAACCCAAGTTAAAAACGGGGAAAATCTTTGAGCAGGCACTTCACAAGAGAATATCCAGCCAGTTAACATACAAAAAAGGTGCTCAACGTTATTACTCATCAGGGAAATGCAAATCAAAGCCACAATGAGGCACCAGCCCACACTCACCAGAAGAGCTAAACCAACAAGGCAGATAATATCAAATGTTGATGAGGATGTGGAGCAACTGGAACTCCCACAGAGTGCCGGCAGGAAACTCTTAAACTGGTTTGTAAACTCTGACATACGCCTGCCACATTCCCAGCTGGCCATCAAGCACTGAGTACACGTGTACAACAAAAGACAGGCAACAACACTCAACCCACACCTGGAAACAACCACAATACTGGCTAACTGCAAGATGGATACGCAAATGCGGTACATCCAAACAGAAGAACATGACACAATGCACAAGATACACACAACCATGTGAATGTGACATGCAGTGAGAGATCAGCTTTCGACCCATGGGATCACAAAGGACTGGCTGCTCCCTGACAGGGCACACTCGCGGAGGGTGAGGTGGGACAGGACAAGGACTCAGATAACAGGCTCTGTGGCTGGGGTTCCAGACTGAGGCCTACACAGAGGCTTGGGTCCCAGAGGGCATAGCAGAGATGAGGGTCCTGTGTGTCCCCTCTGACCCTGCCTCTCGGACCTCCCAGCTTGGCTACATGCCCTTGTGCCATCCTGTCTACGCAGGCACATCCCACCACCCCCGAGCCAACCCCAGCCCAGGAGGACTCCCTCTTCTCTGAGGGTGCCAATCTCAGAAGTGCTGACTCCAGCACTTGTGTCTGGGTCTGTCCCTTCCACCCCAATCCCAGCCGCCAAATCATCTTGGAAAAGGTTCCTGAGCCAGGAGTGCTGCCCCTGCAGGGATCCAGGGCAAAAGAACAAGACCCAAGTGAACTGGCAGGTGACTTCCTGTCTCAAAGGAGCAGCAGAGGCTCAGCTCTGAGTGCTAGTGGGAAGAAGAGACAGACACCACGCCAGGAAAGGGAGTGCCCGCCAGGGCACAGGGAGGCAGCGGAAGGTCTCTCTGCCAGGAGGGCGTCTGCCTGGGGACCTGTGAGGAGGAGCAGCTACCCCAAAGCAGTCCTGTGGTAGAGGAATGAACAGGAGGGGTGGCCAGGGCCAAGGCCGGGGTCGGGGATCAGGGCAGGATGGGCTGCCAGGGGTCTGGCTGCCCAGGGTGAAGAGAGCAGACCCCGAGGGAGGGACACACACTGGCAGACCCACAGCAGCCACATGGGCCGCCCCACTCTTCCAACACGGCCTCAGCCACTGAACCCCAACAGGCTGTGCAGGGCAGGCTCCTGACCAGGGCCGGCCCGTCAGGCACTCTCTGTGCAGCAGCCCACCCTGCTGAAGGAAACGTGCTCTGCCCCCGAGCCCACTCACTCTTCTCAGCGTGCCGGTGCAGGTGCAGGTTGCTGAGGTCAGCTTGGAACTGGGGCCCAACCATGATCTCCTGCAAAGGCAAAGGCCCCGGAGTCAGGGTACCAAGGAAGCTTCCAGGCCACACACAAGACAGCCGCCACAGTGCTGCAGGGGGCTCCAGGGGCAGGGCCGCTGGCTGGACCCCAGACCCATCTGGATGATCTATCTGCCTGCTGTCACCCAGCTCTGAGGTCTGAGGACAGGAAGCAGAGGTCTGGGTGTGTGAGTGTGTGAGTGACCGTCCTACGCCTGGCCAGCAGCCACCAGGTTCCAGGTCTGAGTCCCAGCCCACCCCAGAACCAAGCAGCCCACGCCCTTCTCTGAGGAAGGGCACAAACAGCAGGGACAGCTGCGGTGCCCCGGGCCAGGGGGAGGCCAGAGCCACGCACCTTCTTACACTTGTTGGCAGGAAGAGAGTCCTCCTCGGTGTCAGACGAGGCAGAAGAACCCGGTTCTTTGTCTTCATCCGCCAGGAAACGAGCTTTGGGAAAAGGGAAGGGCTTAGGTGTGTCTGTGCACTGTGCAGCCCGGCCCTTGCTCTCCTGCGGCACTGGGACAGCCCCACGGTCTCCACTGGCCACGGCCTGCACACCCCTTTCTCTGGGGAGTGACCCCCCCAGCCAGGTGGCTACACCACAGAGCCCCGTGCCCCCAGCCACCAGGGCAAGCTCACAGAGGCAGGCAGCCCCAAGAAAGGACGGCTCTGCTGTGGGATGCTATCCCTGGATCTGCCACGGGAACCAACACATCCTTCCCTGTTTAGACTAAAACCACCAGAGTCTCAGCCTGCGGGCCAGGGCCAGCGGTCTGGGCAGATGCACCACCTGTCAGTGCCCTGGGCACACTCCAGCCCCGGCACCTCCATCTGTACCACTGATGCCTCACAGGGGCCACAGAGTGGGGGATGGGGCCAGGGACACCTACAGCCGCTCTGGCGAGGGAAGAGGTCAGAGGCCTCGTGGGAGGTCACAGATGGGGTAAGGTCATCCGCTGAGGACTGCGTTTCTTCCTCCTCCTCTCCTGAAAGCAAATCCTTTGCTATTTGTTCCTTTAACAAGAAAGTAAAGAATATTTTGCACTTTACTATAACAATTCAAAGCACTGATGACAGCAACAGAACAGAAGCCTCCCTCATTGGAGAGCCCTGAGGCTCCTGTGGGCTGTCATTCCCATTCTGCAGAAAAAACTGAGGTTCAGGGACAGGCCAGCCAAAGGTACACAGGGTAGAGTGTTGGGCGGAGCCCATACCCGATCACCAAAGCTGGGGACAGTGAAAGCTGCCCCAGGCACCCACATGGTGCATGTGGCTCTCTCTCTACCCATGCTTTTGGTTTTAAACTCTCACAAGTAAAGCCCTCCCTGCCCCTGACACCTGACCCATGACCTCTGGGTGGGGGAATCAGAGACTGGCCCTGGGAAGTGGGTCACTGGCCCATCTCCCCTCCCAGCTGCTGTCCCTCCACCTACCCAGCCAGAACAACAACTAGCCCATGGGGGCAGGGTCTCTCTGTTCCGGCCCGCCATGACATCCTAACCCTGGGCAGCTGGTCACAGGTAACACTCTATAAGCTGGCCTGCTGCTTCCTGACCATGTTTCTACATGTTCTGGGGCCTCTGTGGTCCTCTCATCAGTCCCCACCCTCCAGAGCAGCCAGGGGCTCCATGTGGGTTCCTTGCTTTTGCTGAGGGCCAGTTCCAGGAAGAGACCTTGCTCACCTTGTCCAGGGTCATGTCCGGGAGGCTGGGCGCCACATCACCGCCCTCGCTCTCCCGTTCTGAGATGGGATCTGACGCCTCATAGCCGTAGAGGGCAAGCAGCTCGTCGAGAGGCATGTCGCTGCCCTGAATGAGGAAGGAGGATAGGGTCCCATCAGGAGGGACTGCCCTGGGGGTTCTGGGCCCCTTATTCCTGCCTCAGTCCTACTGGCCACACAACTAAGATCACTGCTGCAACCCACGTGGCAGCACTCGGTAGCCAGACCCAAGCCAGACCTTCACATAAGAACTCCCTTATGACCCCCACGAGAGGAGCAGAGGAGACAACTGAGCCTACAGGTACCAGCCAGGGAAGGGTGCAGCCAGGTCTAGCCTCCCGCCAACACCACACTGCCCGCAGGGCCTCCTTGCACAAGCTTGTGCATGATTACTCCCAGGAAGGCAAGGATGGCTCAATATCTGACTCTGCTGTCACAACTCGTGATGCCAATAAACCAAAAGGAAAAAAACACATCTGAAAAAGGCATTTGGTAAAAGCCAACATCCACTCCTGACTTAGGAGAAAAACACATCAGTAAATACACAAACAGATGCTGCCTCATCAGTGCAGTGGGGAAGCTGCCAACGTGCACTGGGTCAGATGTGAGCAGCCAGAGAGACCCCACCACAATCCGTAACAGGAGCACCGTGGCTGACAAACACTGAGCCAACACAATACAAGAAACAGAAGTGAGGCACTTAACTCCCTGGAAGGAAAAGACACAAACTACGTTAGCTTCCTCTCCAGCGCTGCTTTCAAATCATTCTTTCTCTCCACTCTCTACTCCTCTGAGGCTAGTGCTGTCTACTCCTCTGAGGCTAGTGCTGCCTGCCCACACTCCTCCCTGCCCCTGTGGGTCTCAATAGGCTGCCCATGCTCCTCCCCGCCCCTGTAGGTCTCAATCGGCTGCCCACACTCCTCCCTGTCCCTGTGGGTCTCAACTGGCTACCAACTCCCTAGAGTTTCCCTCTTACCCACCCAAGATGTCAGCACCTGCCCCCCACCCCACTTCTGCCCCGACTCATCCTGGGGAACTTCAAGTCCACACAGAAAACCAGCTCTTCCTCAGGGCAGCACCACAACCTTCTCCCCACCAGAATCAAGTGCCCCCTTTCATTCCCCGGTGGGACCCCCCCCCCCCGGACGGAACACACTCAGTGCCACACTGTTCCCAACTGTGCATTTGCTGGGGAGGTGGACATGGTGGTCCAGAGCCCCCTGGTTCCTGGAAACTTCCCAGGGTAACCCAAGGTGAACCCACTTTCGTAACAGCATGCACACATTATTTCCGTTTTCTGCTGCACTGACGCTGCGGTGACAGTACAGTCAACAGCCAGCAAGAGGCAGCGCCAGCCCCCCAGGCTGCCACTGTCTTAGAGACAGAGAGGTCAGTTGCACTTACGAACACCCTGGATAAAATTAGTACTTTTGTTAAATCTCACCCTGAGCAGATGCTTTGATTTTATGTGTGAGGAAATGGGAAGCACATATAAAGCACCTGCTGTATACCAAAGTAAGGTGGTTCCCTGAAAGCAGCAGACTGTGAGACTAAGTGGTGAGGTAGGGGCTGCTCTTCTCAGTCACCAGGAAGAACAGCTAATAGGCCATGGCCACCCAGACCACGGCCACCCAGGCCAGCACTGGGCAGACACAGCTTCATACATGAGCCAAGTGGGCTGTTACTTCAATGGAAACAACTGACTGTGCCTGCTACAATGGTAAAACTAAAGCATAAAAAAAAAAAATACTATAATTTCGGAAAACTGAATGTGACCACATGAACTCAATAAATTCTCAATACTTAAAAAAATCCTGACGATACTGGTAATATTAACTGTTATGAACAACCCTGATCCTCAAGTGACTGCGTTTGGAGATAGAACCTTTTCGGAAGTTAAGGTTCAAGGGGTCATGAGGGTGGGGCCCTGATCCAACAGGATTAATGTCCTTGTAAGAAAAAAACACATTGGCCAGGCACAATGGCTCACACCTGTAATCCCAGCACTTTGGGGGGGCCAAGGCAGCAGGATCACTTGATGCTAGGAGTTGGAGACCAGCCAGGGCAACATACCAAGACCCCATCTCGACAAAAAAATTAAAAAATTAGCCGGGTGTAGTTGTGTGTACCTGTAGTACCAGATGATGAGTCGAGAGGATCGCTTGAGCCCAGGAGTCTCAGGCTGGGTGACAGAGTAAAACCCTGTATCTTAAAAAAAGAAAAGTAAAGAAAAGAAAAGAGGGGGAGGGGGAGGGGAAGGGGAGTAATGAAAAAGGAAAAGAAAAAGAAGAAAAAAAAAGAAGAAAAAGAAAAACACACCAGAAAGCTCACTTGCTTTCTGCCCACCATGTGAGGACACAGTGAGAAGGTGGCTGCCTGCAAGCCAGGAAGAGAGCTCTGATCAAAAACCCACTCTGCCAGACCTTCACCTTGGACTTTTCAAGCTCCTGAACTGTGAAAAATAAATTTCTGCCGTTAAAGCCACCTAGTCTGTGGCATTTTGCTATGGTAGCCCTAGCAGACTGGTACATTAACAAATGTGGCTTTCTGATTTTGTATTGGAAGATCTACAGGTGAACCAATTATTTTGCAAACAACAGAACAACACAGAATGTGACCAGATCACACTCGGGCAAAGACCCACTCCACGTGCAAGACCAGTGGATTTTAACAGAACCAAGCACAAAAGGTTCACTGACACAGTCTTGAATTCCACTCTTCAAATACTCTTTACAAAACTCCCACTCGCTGAGTTTTTGGCGCATCCACAGTTGTCTGAAGAGGGTGTGGAACACTCCCCCCTTTTCCAACAACAAGTCTGCATTTGAACCGAAAGAATCTACCACGACAGATTAGCGTCTGCCTTAAAAGACAGCGCTGGATTCTTGTATCTGTTTCTACGTTCAAAGAGATGTGGAAAAATCTCCCTAAGATTTTTCTTTTGAAAAACAGAGTTATTTTTTTATTTTCATAAAAACATATTATTTATATTAACATGTAACTCATTTATTGTTCTTGTTAAATGTATTAGTAACTAAGTATTTTTTAAATGTCGATTTTAACTTTTAATACAGTAAAAAGCAACTGATAAACCACATAAAGAAAGCTCCTGGGACCCTCAACGATGTTTATAGGCACGAGGGGCTTAAAGACCAGCACAGTGGTTGGTTTCGTGCGTCGCTACCGGCGGGTCTAGAGCCCCACGGAGGCTCCCAATAAACTGCTGAGTCGCAGATCCTAGCACAGTGCTTAGTACTCCGTGAGTAGGTGTGAACATGGTGCCCACCAACATGGAATCCACCCAGGAGGTGAAGCTTGCCCAGGAGGGCCCCACCTCGAGGGCACGGGATCGCTCGGCCCAGTACCTGGGAGATGAAGTCTTTCTCCAGCTGCCCCTCGGGCTTCTCCGGGCACCTCGAGGCCTCCTCGCACCCTTCCCGGATGCTGTAGTCCTGCGACAGGATCTCTGCGAGGTTGAACTGGGGGTCGGCAGAGCCCATGGACACCACTGTGGAAGAGACAGCAGCCCAAGTGAGCACCTGCCTAGCGGCCCCAGCCATCGTGCTAAGACTGTGGACATCTGGAGCAGGAGAGGCAATGGGGCCCTGCCGTGCCCAGGGGCGAAGCCCTTCTGGGCAGCACGTGCACACTGGCGCGAGGAGGTTACTCAACAGGCTCAGCCTCCTGTGCATGGCCTGATGGATGGCGACTGTCGCCAGATCCAGGGTTTCCCCAGAGAACCAGGATGTGCTCGCTGCCGGCTCTCTTCATGAAAGGTCTTCAATAAGCCAAATTTTAAAACAAACCAACAAAAAGGAAACAATCAGTCCAAAGAAGCAGGGAGCAGTGAAGCCCAAGGGTGGGGTGCTGGGAGCCTGGAGGTACAGCGCAGGACACCTCTAGGGGGCAGGCCCGCTGCCTGCACGCTGCTCAAGTGGGCGTGCACCAGCGCAGAGCCAGGCCAGCACAAGGCGCACGCAGCAGACACCAAGCTGTCAGGGGGACCAGGCACTCCGGGACCACTGGCTCCTTGCAAGAGGAGCTATGTGGGGAGATGCCTTCTCTGGGGGCCAGAGTGGAGGCTGGTTCAGACGCTGGAGAGAGATGCGGCCCCACACTGGCCTGCAGCCGAGTGCAGTGAGGGAGCACAAGCGCAGAGACCCGGCCCTCCAGCATCCACCTCCTCCCCATGGGTCCCCCACAGGTGCCAGCAGGAGAGGCTCAGGACCTTGATCCCGACTGGGTCAGGGAGCACAGGGGACGTCACCAGCCCAGCACCTGCCCCCCACCTGCCCCACCTTCTCTAGCCCCAAGGGCTGTGGGAACCCTTCGGCACACCACCCCTCCCTGACACTGCAGCAGGCTGACCCAGCCCTCAGCCTCAGCCAGGTGTGTGTCTGGGCGTGTGCAGGACCTGCCAGGAGAGGCACTGTGGTCCTCTACGGGAGTCTCTGAGGAGTCTGGGGCTGCCGGGCTCCCCACCTTGCTGGAGAAGAGGAAGACCATGCTGACCACTCTGCCCCTACATCTCCACCTGAGCCACTATGCTGGTCCCTGGCTCAGCCATGCTGAGCAGGGATTCCGTCTCTTACGACCACAAAGGCCCTGGCAGAACTGGGCAGGAGGGAGAGGGCGAGGAAAGGAGGAAGGTACCTGCGGTTGTCTGCAAGCCAGGCTCCCCAGGGCACAGGCTGTGCGCAAGGCAGGAGGCCACTCGAGGACTCTGCCTCCCCAGCGAGGAGGCCTGTGAAGGAAGAAAGGCAGCATTAGCTCAGCCGGCCCAAATCCCACCGTTGGACCTGACGGCGTGGTGGCCAACAGCAAGCACTGGTCACAGCCCAGCCCCTGGTGAACCTCTGCCTCTAGGGCCTGGGGACGCTGAGAGCAGGACACGCATGCAGCCACTGCTGGCTACGCCTCCACCAGCAACCTACTCACAGGGTCCAAGCACTCCACTCAGGGCCAGACCCTCCTCATGTGACACTTACTAAAAACTGCCCACGAGCAGCCCTATGGTCCTGACCCAGGCTACATGGACGGACCTCGAACACACTGTGCTCTGTGAGAGATGCCAAACACACAGGCCACACAGGGTGTGACTCCACTTACACGAAATGCCTAGAACAGCAGATCCACAGAGACGGGAAGTGAATTTGTGGTTGTCAGGGGCTGGGGAGGGATAAGGAGTGACTGCTGATGGGGACCCGGCTTCCTTTTGGGATCATGGAATGTTCTGGAATTTGATAGTGGTGATGGCTGCATGACTATGAATATATTAAAAACCAATGAATTATATACTTCTTTTTCGAGATAGGGTCTTCACTCTGTTGCCCAGACTGAAGTACGATGGCATCATAATAGCTCACTGCAGCCTCCAACTCCTGGGCTCATTCGATCCTCCCATCTCAGCCTCCCAAGTAGCTGGGACAACAGGTGCGCATCACCACACCTGGCTAATTTTTCTATTTTTCTATTTGTTGTAGAGGCAGGGGTCTCACACTTGCTCAGGCTGGTCTCGAATTCATCACCTCAAGCAATCTTCCTGCCTGGGCCTCCCAAAGTGCTAGGATTATAGACATGAGCCACCGCACCTGGCCTCTTTATACACTTTAAATGGGTACATTTTATGAATTGTAAATTAGCTCAATTTTTTTAAAAAGGCAAACCAAAAACCATTATAACAGCTACCATTACCACAATATTCAAAAGTTTATTAAGGACAAGAAAACTATAGACCAATATCTTTTATGAATACAAACATAAAAATCCTCAACAAAATACTACCAAATTGAATCCAGCAACATATAAAAATGATTATAAACCATGACCAAGTAGGATTTATTGCAGGGATGCAAGACTGGTTTAACATCCAAAAGTCAATTAATGTAATACACCATATCAACAAAATAAAAAACAAAAACACATCATCTCACAGACCCATTTAGCAAAATCTAACACCCCATCACGATAAAAACACTCAACACACTAGAATAGAAGGGGGTTTCTCAACCTGCTCCAGTTACTGCTGTACTTAGTGGGGAAAGCTGGACGCCTCCCCTTGCTACCCCGGACATGGCCGTGAGGGCCACTCCCACCTCTCCTACTCAACGCAACACCGCAGGTTCCAGTCAGTGCAAGAAAACAAAATAAAAAAATCAAGATTGCTAAGGACGAACTACAGTGTTTCCCCGAAAATAACACAGGGTCTTATATTTATTTTTCCTCAAGAAGACACCCTAGGGCTTATTTTCAGGGGATGTGTTATCTTCCCCTCAAAGCCTCAGCTTGCAGCAGGCACCGGATGGCCGGGACCTGCCAGGGGGAGCCGACCTTGTTGGTGGGGCTGCCCGCACTTTTCTGGTCACCTCTGGGATAGTAGCTGTCACGATGGGGCAGATGAGAAGGGCTGCTCGTCTTCTTTACTGCTCTGCGACAAAATGCATGGGTTGTGCAGATACACTGCATAGTCACATCCATCACTAGGTCTTATTTTTGGGGTAGGGCTTATATTGCATAAATGCTTAGAAATCCTGCTAAGGCTTATTTTATGGGTCGGTCTTATTTTCTGGGAAAATAGTACCTCTTTCAGCTGGTGATATGACCTTGCACGTGAAAAATCCTAACTAAAAAACTATTCAAGGCATTCTGAAACTGGGGAAATGAAAAAATCAAAAAGACACACACAAAAAACCCTACTCACAGTAATAAATGAGTTCACAAGGTTGCAGTACATAAAAATCAATATATAAAAACCAATTTTATTTCTATACGCAAGCAATAAACAATCCAAAACAAATCTAGGAAAAAATTCCATTTACAACAGCATAAAAAGAAGTATAAAATGTATAGAGTACTCTGATTGAACAAAGCAGTGAATGAAAAGACATCCCATGTTCATGGCTAAGAAGACTTAACATAAAATGGTGATAGTCCCCAGCTGACTTACAGATTTAACACAATCCCTTATCAGACTCACAGCTGGCTTCTTTGTAGAAACAGACACACTGATTCAGAAACTTAAGGACCCAGAATAGCCAAAACAATCTTGAAACAGAACACTTCCTGATTTTAAAACTTACTACAGACTCGGAACAAGGGCTCACACCTGTAATCCCACCACTTTGGGAGGACAGAGTGGGAGGATTGCTTGAGCTCAGGAGTTCGAGACCAGCCTGAACAAGAGCCAGACCCCATCTCTAATTAAAAATAGGAAAAATTAGCCAGGGGTGGTGGCGCCTGTAGTCCCAGCTACTCAGGAGGCTGAGGCAGGAGGATCGCTTGAGCCCCGGAGTTGGAGGCTGCAGTAAGCTGTGATGATGCCACTGCACAATACCCAGGGCGACGGAGAGAAATCCTGTTTCAACAACAACAATAAAAACACTTACTACAAAACTACAGTAATCAAAACAATGTGCTGCCAACCAGGATAGGCATATAGATCAATGGAATAGAACTGAGACTCCAGAAATAAATTCACACATTCACAATCAATTGAATTTGGACAAAAGTGTCAAAATAGTTAAATGGGGAATGAACAGTCTTTTTAACAAATCCTATCTCATACTATATACTAAAATTAACTCAAAGTGGATCAAAGACTTTAAATATAAGAGCTAAAACTATACAACTCCTACAGAAAAACATAGGGATATATATTTGTGACCTTGGATTTGCCAATGGTTTCTTAGATAAGACACCAAAAGCACAAGTGACAAAATAAAACAAAAATAGATAAACTGTACTTCACCAAAATTAAAAACTTTTGTGCTTCAAAGGACACAATCAAGTAAATGAAAAGACAACACACGGAATGGGAGAAAATACGGGCAAATCACATATCTGGTAAGCGATTTGTACCTAGGATATATAAAGAACTTTTACAACTCAATAATAAAAAGGCAATCCAATTTAAAAATGGGCAAAGGATCTCAATAGACACTTCTCCAAAGAAGACACACAAATGGCCAAAAAGCACATGAAAAGATACTTAATATCATATCAGGGAAAAGCAAATAAAACCCACAAAAAGAAAACAATTCATAATCACAGAATGACTATGATTAAAAAGACAGATAATAAGAGGCGTTGGCAAGAAGGTGGATGAATTGGAACTCTCATACACTGCTGGTGGAATGTAAAATGATGCAAACTCTTTGGAAAACAGTCCGGCGGTTCCTCCAAAAGTTAAACATAGTGTTATCGTATGACCGAGGTGCGTATCCAAGAGAAAAGAAAACATACATCTACACTAAAACTTACACATGAATGCTCACAGGATTATAACCAAAAAGTGGAAAGAACACTAATGTCCATCAGCTGATGAACAGATACACAAAATCGAAACAATGGACCATCACTCAGCCATGAAAAGGAAGGAGGCTCTGACACGGGCTATAACGTGGATGGACCTTGAGGACATTGTGCTCAGCGAGAGAGGCCAGACACAGAAAGCCACGTGTTGTATGAGTCATGTTATACGAAATGTCTAGAACAGGCGGATCCACAGACAGAGAAAGTGGATGGACTCATGGTCGCTAGGGCCATGGGGGACGATGTGGTGTTTGAGGAGTTATCACCAAGCACGGCAGGGTTCCTTTCAGGGTGATGAAAACATTTTAAAATGGACTGTGGTGCTACCTTCACAGTTCTGTGAATACACTAAAAAAAAAAAAAACCAATGAATTGTGCACATTAAAATGGACAGATTGCATGGTAGATGGATGATATCTCAGTAAAGCTGTTGCCAAAGAGTAGATTAAAATATTTAATAAAGTTTAAAAAACTTGTTTAGTAAGAATTTCAACACTGCTTTCCTGAGTCCTCAAGAAAAATCTCAGAGGTGGTCTAATCATTCTCGTAAGAGAAGCAAGGAGACTGAAACTCAAAGAGTCACTCCCAGGCTCACACGAGTGGCACAACTACAAACTCAAGCTCAGGCCGAGCTGACTCAGAAGCCCTTTCCAGCCGGGCACTCTACTCAGGAGTCAACCCTTGAACAACGCGGGGTTCGGGGTGCTGACCCTCTGTGCAGTTGAAAATCTATGTACCACTTTTGACGCCCCAAAAACTTAACTACTAATAACAGCCTCCTGTTGACCAGAAGCTGTACCAATGATATAAACAGTCGATGAACGCGTATCTGGTGTGTTATATGTACTATATACTGTATTCTTACGATAAAGAGAATGGGAGAAAAAATGTTATAAAGAACATCGTAAAGAAGAGAAAACATATTTACTATTCAGTAAGTGGAAGTGGATCATCATAAAGGTCTTCATCCTCGTCGTCTTCGAGTTGAGGAGGTGGTGGAGGAGGAGGAGGGAGGAGGGGTTGGTCTTGATGTCTCAGGGGTGGCTGAGGCGGAAGAAAATCCGCGTGTGAGTGGACCCGTGCGGCTCAAACCCGCGTGTTCAAGGGTCAGCTGTAGGTAACCGCACAGCAAAGCCACGGCGGGAGTGGGGAGGCACAGCGAGTCCCGGCACCGGAGCGCCAAGGCAAAGAGGCTACAGGGAACAGGGTGCAGAGACAGATCCCAGGGAGGAGGCACGGCACATCAGCGGCTCCAAGCGGATGCGACAGGTCCCACCAGCTCTCAGAAGTACAGCCCTGCTGGTGGAGGGCGGCCAGCAGAGAAGGGAAGAGGGGCCAGCAGCCAGCGGCTGGGTAGGGAGGGGCCGTAGGGACTGGGAGTGGCCAAGGGAAGCTGAGCTGGGCCTGTGGCACCTAGTCCCTGCCCTGGGGCTAGTCCAGGCCCTGTGGGGTAGGGTAGCAGTGAGGCACAGTTTTCCAGAAAAGCCCAAGGCCACATGCGGCGTGAAGTCCTGGCAAGAGCACCCTAAGTGACCTGAGATCACTCCTGGCCCTCTCTGGGACCCTCTGGGTGGGGGCAGGGGAGGCTCTGGGCAGCCTTTCACATCTCAGCCAGGGGGCTGGCTTTCTGTTCTCGCCACCAAGAGCCCTGACGAGCAAGGGGGCTGAAGACCACACAAATGAGGCCCCAGTCTGGGTGGCGCGTTGACAACAGCCCCACAAGTGCAAGGCCCACACAGAGTGGCAGGGGATGGCAGGCACCTGGCCTCAAGCGAGGCAGAGTGCCAGGTCTGAGGAGGATGTGGCCCTTATCTGACTTGCCATTTAACAGGGAGCTCAGGCAGAGAGGGGCAAAGAGAGAAGCAGCTGGGAATGGCCGAAGAGCTGCCAATGTGGGGGACTCCGGCAACCTCGCATTCCCAAATGCACTTCCAGGTGACTCCAGGTTCCTCAAACTTACTGAGGAATACAGAGTCCAGGAACTTCCTCCCCGCCCTGCCCCAGTGTCTGACGTCCAGGGGAAGCCTACTCAACAGTGGATTCTTTCACTCACTCAGGAACTTGGGTTGTCACCACCAGAGCTGAGGGCCAGCAAAGCCAAGTGAAAAGAGGAAAAAGATGGGGAGCTGGCCAAAGGAACTCCAGGCAGGTATTCCAAAAGGAAGAGAAAGAAGGACAGCAGCACTCTAGAGACACGGTCCCAAAGGAGAGAGGGCCAGGGACCCAAGTGTCCCATCAGGGTCTTCTGGGAGTGGAGGCGGCAGCAAGCTGGTTGGCATAAAGACTGTGGGTGGCCCTTCTCCCCCACCACTCGCTATTTCCCGCTCACCACCCTTCAAAGCAGAAGCCAAACGACACAGTGGCTACACCCACATCCCATCCCACAATCTCTCCCTCCAGCGTCTGGACGTTGAGGCGCCTGCCCTGAGAGATGGAGTCCTCTCCCTCTCCCCACGAATCCGGCCAGGCCTGAGACCGTGGTGGAAAGGATGCTATCTGACTTCCAAGGCTAGGCTGTAAAATACGATCCAGATTCCATCTGGTATCTTTTGGACACTCTTAGACCCAGTTGCCATGCTGTGAGGAAGCCCAAGGCACATGGAGAGGCCACATCAGGTGTCCCAGCAGATAGCCATTGACAGACAGCCAGCTGCGAGTGAGGAAGCCCTGCTGCAACTCCAGCCCTGGTCACCAACTGACCACGACCACGTGAGAGACCTGACAGAGAACCGTCTCGCTGAGCACAGTCAGTCCTCAGACTATTAAAGATAACAATAAAACGATTGCTGTTGTTTTAAGAAACTGAGTTTTTTGTTGTTTTTATTAATAAGAGAGCCTCACTCTATCACCCAGGCTGGAGTGCAGTGGTGAGAACACAGCTCACTACAGCCTCCAACTCCTGGGCTCAGGCAATCCTTCCACCTCAGCCTCCCAAAGTTGCCTCCACTTGACCAACATGCAGAGTGGGCGCCTACTCCGGGCCAGCCAAGGCAGCAGCATGCTAGTTAACCTGAGGAACAGGTTCCGCCTGTCTCCACCCACACGGAGTTATAGTCTGGTTTCGGACACAGATAACAAGTGGATGTGTACGGTACTGACAGTAGAAAACAGGGTGAGGGGCTATACAACTGGGGGTGAGGGAAAACCTCTGAGGGGCCTGAGGGGAGGCAGAACAGGTGGCAGGTGGCACCCAAGGGGTAGAGCACACCAGAAAGTGGAAAGAGCCCAGGGGGACCACACCACAGGGCCTTTCATCCTGAGGACAACGAAAAGCCATGGAAGATTTTAAACATAGCAAAAGGCGGTGTACTCAGGTTTTTAAAAGATTATTCTAGTACCCATGAAACAGTGTGATGCACTCCCGTCTTCCACAATGATGCTGATGATCATTTTGAGATGACAATATGATAATAAAGCAGCTAATACTCATCTAGTACTATTAGGTTACAAAAGACCATTTTTATTGGTTAAATACAGCTGAATATCAGCAACTTCATAAGGTTCAACTTCTACATGCAAGCCACCACAGGAACATCTCATGAGACCGCTCAGTTCTGAAGGTAGACCATTAACTTCCCATTTTAGACATGGGGAAACTGAGTCGTTCGGCAATCTGCCTGAGATCACACAAACAAACAGGAGGCTCCAGAGCCAGAAGAGGCCTCCTGGGCGGAGGCTGGCCATGGCTCAGCATCCCCACACTTGGTCCTTGCTGGTCCCATGGCTCTCTCTCTGACCAGACTCTAAATCCCTTTGGGACAGACCTCGACTGTTCTGGCCTTTGGAGACCCTCAGGGCCTAGCATGAAGGGGAAACTCTTTAGAAAATCAAGCTCACTCCACAGCACCACCCCAGCTGTAGAACAGGGTAACAGGAGCACCCAGACAACTAGCTGCATGACCATTTGGGAGCTCGGCACAGGGCAAGGCAGCTTTCAGAGGAGGCTGGCTGGGGGGTGACCCACACATGCAGGACACACAGCTCCCTGCCAGGCCATGTTGCTGCCCACATGCCACTTCACTCCCAGGAGCCATGCCTGAGTCGGAAGCACACCAGACACACATACACTCAACCGCCATGCCCCTGCAGGGCCATTGGGAAACCTGGCTTCTGCCTCCGATGCTGGAGGCCAACCACCATCCTCATGAGAACTCAGTTTCCCTAAACGCACCCCCCCCACTCCAAGGAAGGAGAGCTAACTCTCTAAGAACCCTCTGGATCCAGCCACCCAGCACAAGGCAGGAACTGGCTGGTGAGGCCTGGCCTGGCACCAAGTCACCTACACCCTCTTTGGCACAAACACAGCCTGTTGATGCCCCGAGAAGGCCACTGGTGGGGGAGAATGGCCAGTCCCGCCTTCTACAACGCCTACCCATGTTGTGCCAAGACACAAACACTCAAGGTGGCCCCATGACCAGGCCAGATTTCCAGTCCCATCTTCCCACCAAGCAGCTGGGCCTCACAGGGTGGGCACCTCATCCTCTCTGGGCCCCAGCCACCCCACTCATCAGATAAGGACCAGCTCCTGAGTCTGTGGACCTGTCAACTTCTGTAAGCACACGGTAGTCATGCACTCAGAGTCACACTCATCAAGCCCCTGTCCCATGCTAGACCTGCACTTACACTTATCTGGTTTCATCTTCACCAGGACCCTATGAGGTGACAGCAGTCACCATTCACAAATCAAAAAAAGCTCCAAAAGTGAAAGTTTTTTCGCTCCTGGTTTGACCTGGAGCAAAAGTTTTTTCGCTCCTGGTTTGACCATGAAGCTATTTGCTGCCTTTCTTGATCCTGGACAGTCCTAGGTGAGTTTGATCAAACATCAGGGTCCAAAACCCCACAGAGCCTCAGATGGGAAAAATTCTGGATTCCAATGCACAGACAGCCCCAAGGATTTCGGGTAAAGGGGTCTCAGGCTTGCTTTATGGACAGAGGAGTCTCTGAGAAGTAACTTCATGCTCAGCACAGGTTGGTCTAACTCTGCCCTGACATCAGCCCCAAAGCTCTCTAGGGCCCAGAGGACCCACCCAGCCGCCGTGCCTGGTTTACCCGAGACGGGTCCCAAGTCTGGAGTTCAAATCCCGCCCAGGGTCTGACCTGACCCCCGGGGGACTCGCGGGCGGGCCGAGGCGCCCCGGGTCCAGCCGGGTCCCGACGGGGAGCGCGGGGCGCGGCCACAGCATTCGGCAAAGTTGGCAAAGGCGCGGGGGAGGCTGTGGGGCCGGGGCCAGGCCGCGCCGGGCGCCCACCCGCAGCCCCCGGCTCAGGACCCCCGCCCCGACCCCTCCCCTCCCGTCCTCCCCTCAGGCTCCCCCTCCCGCTCCGCGCTACCGCGCGTGCGCACTGCGACCCGCGATGTGGCAGTGGGAGGGGGGGGCCGAGCGGGGCCGGGGGCGGCCGCCGACGAAGCCCCGCGCCCCTCGGGCCCCGGACGCGCCAGGCGCCCCGGGCCCAGCCTCGGAGCTCTGAACCTGGGGTCTCCGCCCCCGGGGCCCCCGAAGAAGCCGAGCTGCGGCGGCGGGGGGCGCGGGCACGCGGGGGCGGGGGGCAGGCTCCCCCGGCCCGCTCACTCACCTCCGCCATGGCCGTGTGTGCGCGGGAGGCGGCGGCCGCGCCGGGATCCCCGGATGCGGCGCCGCGCTCCCATTGGCTGTGGCGCCGGGGGGGCGTGGCCGGGGCGGGCCTGGAGGGGGCGGGAGCAGGCCCGGGCGCGTAGTAGGTGCGCTGGCGCGTGGACTGGCGGCTTCTGTTTCTGTTTGCTGGGGTCGCTGCTGGGCCCTAGCTGTGGCCTTGGCCGTGGAATGTGGAGGATGTTGTTAATAAAAATACTGAGTCCTCATAACCACACCTGCGTGGGGAACACGTGGCCCCACGTGATCTTTCCGCGCTTGTGTGTACACTCCTGTTAGTACAAGTTATATAGGGGAAAACTGAGGCCGCTCACCCAGTGCCTGAACCGCGGTGATGGAACCGGAAATGGAGTCTGGGCGGCATGGTTCTGGGACTTCCTGCACTTTCGCATCAGTGATGACCAAACTAGTGTGCCAAGGAATCAGCTGGGGAGCTTGCGAGAATGAACCCAGAAAAGACCTTTGAGAAACGTGGCTTCCCTATATTAGGGAGCCAAAGTATTGACTGGGACAAGAGAGGTGGGGTTTGAACCCACCGCCATTCGGCTCAGGAGTCCATTGTTTTTGGTTTAATTCAATTAATTGATTAAGTATTTGTGGAACACTTGCACATACTGACCCTGTGCTAGGTGACAGGGAGTCGCATGCAGTCGCATGCAGCCAGGTGAATGTTTGAAACTCCATATTCACAACCTGCTCCCAAAGTTATCTTCCCCTCTTCCTCCTGCGGTCGTTAGGTGCTTGTATCCTGTAGTGCCATGGTGGGCTTTGTCTTGTAGTGCGTGGGCACTCCACAGAATGCCAGCTGCAGAACAGATGGGATTCTCCCCTGAAGTTCTAAACCCTAAGAGGGAAGAGGCTTGCTTAGAGATGGTCTTGTTCCTTGGGGACACACCCTTCCATTAGCACCAGGTAACTTCATTCAGCAAAGCAAAACGATATTCTTAGAAAAAAATCTGGGAGGGGATAACCAAATACAAAAACAAAATGACCTGCCCAAGGCCAGACGGTTTGTCAGGACCATATCCTTTGTGCGGCTCCCCCCTTTCCAGGTGCTGGGTAGAGAGGGTGGCATGGCATGGGTCAGTGAGGCTGAGGTTACCCAGGGCAGAGAGGAAGTAGCATAGCCCCTTCAACTTTGAGGTGCCATATGCTGTTTTTTACATTATTGAGTGACTAAACGTCCTGAAAGAATTTACGATCTTGGCTGGGTGTGGTGACTCCCGCCTGTAATCCTAACACTCTGGGAGGCCAAGGTGGGTGGATTGTTTGAGCTCAGGAGTTCGAGACCAGCCTGAGCAAGAGTGAGATTCCATTTCTATGAAAAAAAAAAAAAATAGAACGAAATTAGTTGGGCAACTAAAAATACATATATAAAAAATTAGCCGGGGCTGGGCACAGTAGCTCACACCTGTAATCCTAGCACTCTGTGAGGCAGAGGCTGAAGAATTGCTCAAGGTCAGGAGTTTGAAACCAGCCTGAGCAGGAGTGAGACCTCATCTCTACTAAAAATAGAAAGAAATTAATTGGCCAACTAAAAATACACGGAAAATATTAGCCAGGCATGGTGGCGCATGCCTGTAGTCCCAGCTACTTGGGAGACTGAGGCAGAAGGATTGCTTGAGCCCAGGAGTTTGAGGTTGCTGTGAGCTAGGCTGATGCCACAACACTCTAGCCCAGGCAACAGAGTGAGACTCTGTCTCAAAAAATAATAATAATAACTTACAATCTGGTAATAACTTTGGATTCTCAGACTCATGGCTCAGGATCTGACACTTGGTAGGCTCTGAAAAAAATACTTGCTGATGGGTTGGCCCAAGCCAGTCAGCACACAGCACCATCATGACCCAGCGGCTGGCTCCGGAGGGACCCAGGCAGAGCCAATGACGTGTGAGACTTTGTCTAGGGTTTCAGAGAGAGTGAAGAAGCTCTTTCCCACTGTGGTTGGCTGAATAACAGCCCCCAAAGACATCCACATTCTAATCCCTGGGATCTAACTACACCGGTGTTACGTTACATGGCGAAAAGAAGTATCACAGGGTCCTCATGAGAGGACACAAGAGGGTCAGAGTCAGGGGAGGGGACATAACAGTGGAAGCAGGAGATGGTGCAGCCCGATGGCAGGTGGAAGGGACCACAAACCAAGGCATGTGGGCAGCCTCTAGAAGCCGGAAAAGGCACAGGCACAAAATCCTCCCCTGGAGTCTCCAGAAGGAGCCAGGCCTGCCCACACCTTAACTATAGCCCAGAGAGACTCAGTTAGAACTTCTGGTTTCCAGAACCAGAAGAGAATACATTTAAGTTGTTTTAAGCCGTGAAATTTGTGCCGATTTGTTACGGCAGCTGTAGGCAGCCCATGCAGCCTGGGCGGACCTTGGATGGGCTGAGATGGGGAACAGCAGCAGCACATGGGGGCACAGGCCAAGGCCCGTCTGAGAGAGCCAGCCATGGGGACACAACTGAGTGGCAGCAAAGAGAGCAAAGTCGCAGCTTGCTATGAAAATGTATGTGCAAATTTTTGTGTGAACAGCCCTAGGAAAATAGTATGCAATTCAAATGTCCATCAACTGATGCGTGAATAATTAAAATCTGGTCCTTCCATAAAATGGAATATCACTCAGCCATGAAAAAGGACAAGGCTCTAACACAGGCTACAGCGTGGATGGACCTTGAGGACATTGTGTTCAGTGAGAGACACCAGACACAGGACACACAGTGTGAGACTTCATTTATATGAATGTCCAGAACAGGTAGATCCACAGAGATGGGAGGTGGATTCGTAGGTGCCAGGGGCTGGGGGTGGTGGGGAAGGGGCGTGACTGCTGATGGGTACAGAGTTTCTTTCTGGGGAGACAAAAATGTTCTGGAACGAGATAAAGATGATGGCTGGAAAGTATGTACAGTCCTAAATACTACTAAATTGTACACCATAAAAGGATGAATTTTATGGTCTGTGAATAATATCTCAATAAAAATGGTAGTCACATTTACTGGGATGGGCAAGGTTGAGAGAGAAAAAAGTTTGTGTACCTATTAGGGGCAAGAATCAAGAATTCTGTTTTAGACATGTTAAATTTGAAATGTCTGTTAGAAACCCAAAACACATAGCTTATCTATAACTGCAGCTTATATTGGTTCGTTTCTATTGCTTGTAACAGAATATCCAAGACGGGGTAATTTACAAAGAAAAGGAGTTTACTGCTCACAGTTCGGGAGGCTGGGAAGTCCATGCTTGAGGGGCTGCATCTGGTGAGGCCTTCTTGTCCCTGGTGACTCTCTGCAGAGTCCCAGAGTGGCACAGGGCAGCGGCACATGGCGAGGGACCCGAGTGTGCTAAAGTGCTAGCTCAGGTCCCTCTTCCTCTTTCCTACAAAGCCATCGTCCCGCTCCCATGATAACCCATTAATCCACGAATGGATTAACCCATTCATGAGAACAGAGCCTCTCGACGCTGCCACATCGGGGCTGAACTTTCAACATGAGTTCCGGAAGGGACCACCAGTATTCAAACCGCAGCACAGCCCTTTTGTCCTCTCCCCACAAAGAAGAGGTGTAGTCTGTCCCCACGGTGCTGTGCACCCACCCCTCCTGCCTTCTCAGCAACCGTTCTCTCCGCACCTCCCCGCCCCTTACCTGGTATCCCTCTTGTTTTGTAAACACGCTCTGGTCGCCTCCACTCAGTAAGATTGAAGCTCTCCCTGCTGCACGCTCCCTTGCAGACACCACCTGGTCACTCTCCTTGACCAGCTTCTTGAAACAACCGTCTTCACGCCCTGTGTGCATCTCCCCAGGCCACGCCAACCTGCCCTGCAAAGCACGTCCCTCGGGTGCCCAGTAGCTCTTGCGGGCCACAGCCGGGGGCATCTCAGCCCTCGCTCCTCTCCAGCTCCAAGTACCTCACACTGATGGCTGTGCCTCCTCCCCGACCGTGCTGCAGCCCTGCACGCTACTTCCAGGCTCCCTGGCTGGTCATCGTCTTCCGCCTGCCCACTGGGTGTTGGAACGAGGCCCTTCTCTTCCTGCTCTCTCCTCTCCCCAAGTGAGTGCATGCATTCCTTCCTTTGCTCACACCTGCACTGACCTGTGCCTGCACCTATACCTGTGCCTGCACCTATGCCTGCACCTGTGCCTACACATATACCTGCTCCCACATCTGCACCTACACCTGTGCCTGCAACTACACCTGTGCCTGCACCTATGCCTGCACTTGTGCCTACATATATACCTGCTCCCACATCTGCACCTACACCTGTGCCTGCAACTACACCTGTGCCTGCACCTATGCCTGCACCTGTGCCTACATATATACCTGCTCTCACATCTGCATCTACACCTGTGCCTGTGCCTACATATATACCTGCTCCCACATCTGCACCTACACCTGTCCCTGCATCTACACCTGTGCTTGCATCCACACCTGTGCCTGCATCCGCACCTGTGCCTGCATCTGCACCTGGTCCAATGTCTGCACTGACACCTGTGTCTGCACTTACACCTGTGCCTGCATCCACACCTGCACTTGTGTCTACACATACACCTGCTCCCACATCTGCACCTCCACCTGTGCCTGCATCCACACCTGTGCCTGCAACTACACCTGTGCCTACACCTACACCTGTGCCTGCATCCATACCTGTGCCTGAACCTACATCTGCACCTGTGCCTACACATACACTTGCTCCCACATCTGCACCTACACCTGTGCCTGCACCTGTATTTATACTGCCACATCTTCAGAATAGCTCACAAAGTATGTCTCAGCCCAGTGTCCTCTCTGAATCTCAGAATAGTGCTCCCAACTGGTGTAGGTGCAGATGTAGGTGTAGGCACAGGTGCAGATGTCAGTGCAGGTGTAGGCACAGGTGCAGGTGTAGGCACAGTGCAGGTGTCAGTGCAGGTGTAGGCACAGGTGCAGATGTCAGTGCAGGTGTAGGCACAGGTGCAGGTGTAGGCACAGGTGCAGGTGTCAGTGCAGGTGTAGGCACAGGTGCAGGTGTAGGCACAGGTGCAGGTGTCAGTGCAGGTGTAGGCACAGGTGCAGGTGTCAGTGCAGGTGTAGGAACAGGTGCAGGTGTAGACACAGGTGAAGGTGTAGGTGCAAGCAGAAGTGTGGATGCAGGTGTAGGCACAGGTATAGGTAAAGGCACAGGTGTAGGTTCAGGCGCAGGTACAGGTGCAGACATTGGTGTATATTTTCTCTTGGAAATGTCAAAGCAGCTCCAAACCCAACAGTTTTAAAAACCATTCATCACCCTCCCCCGTGATGACAAGAAAGTGTCCCCTATCAGTGAATGGTGATGCCATGCCTGAGAAACAGTGTTCTCCCCTTCTCCTTCCTGCACGCCCCACACCTCATCATTTGTTGCACCAGTTTGACACGACACTTCCTAAAGCTCTCTCAAATTCAGCCCTGTCACTGCACCTCCAGGCCACAGAGTAATTGAGAGTGGCAGGTTGTCTGTCCGACTGTCTGTGGGTCTGTGGTTGGCAGGAAAACGCCCTAAGGACATCCCCAACCTGGTCTCCAGGACCTGTGGACAGGCCACCTTGCACCGAAAAAGGGACTCTTCCCTCGTGATTAAGTTGAGAACCTTGAGATGGGAGATCACTCTGGGTGACCCGGGGACCCAGTGTCAGCCCAGGGTCCTCCCACGAGGGGCGGGAGGGGCAGAGAGACTGGAAGACGCTGCGCTGCTGGCTGTGGAGGGGAGGAAGGGCCCGGAGCCGAGGGACGCATGCGGCTAGATGCTAGGAAAGGCGGGAGACAGGTTGTCCCTTGGAACCCCCAGGAGGGACCAGCCCTGCTACGCCTTGATTTTAGCCCAGTGAGACCCACTTTGGACTCTGACCCCAGAACCGTGACAGAATAAATGTGTATTAAGTCACCCTGTGTGTGGTCATCTGCTGTAACAAAGTACCATAGACGGGTGGCCCGTGAACAACACGTGGCTGTTTCTCACGGTTCTAGAGGCTGGAAGTCCAAGATCAGGGTGAGGCCTCCTCCCGGTTGCACACTGCCCACTCCTGCGTCCTCACACAGTGCAAGGGGGCCAGGGGCATGTCTGGGGCCTCTTTCACAGGGACATCAATGCCACGCTTGAGTGTCAGGGACATCAATGCCACGCTTGAGTGTTCTGCCCCCAGGACCTCCCCAAGGCTCCGCCTCCTCGACCCTCCCCTTGGGGGTGGATATTTCAATATATGAATTATGGAGGGACACAAATGTCCAGACCACAGCAGGGACTGTGGGTCTTCTCCTGACCTCCTGAGCCTCAGTCTCTGCCTCCATAAAATGGGACACTAAGAGTCCTCCAACACTGAGTCACTGTAGAGATCAGTGAGTCATGCAGCGGCGCTAGCTGGTTTTACTGGGGTGTCATTGTGACTTGGAGGCGCGTGTGGACGCGCAGGAGGCTGGATAAGCAAGGCTGGATGTGAGGGGTCCAGAGGGAAGATTCTGAAGTTGGGGGGGGCCTGAAGTCTAACTTCAGAGGAGACCAAGATGGTCGATAAAAGTAATTTGGGAAATAAAAGGGCTGTACAAATCGCAGGTTGAATGTGAAAATAAATATTATTATTGTCCTCCTCGCCATTCTTTCGGCCTTCCAGCCGGCCCACCCTCCTCCAGGCCAAAAGCTCAGACAACCACATACACAGGGTTAGGATGCACTTGGGTGTTTACTGGGAGCGGAGGGCTCAGATGCTGGTCATGCTTTTTTGGTGATGTTCTTAGGGATGGCAAGCTCATAGAGGCGCGGAGATGCCTGGGCCACCAGGGAGGCCGGGGAGATCTGGAAGGGGTTGTAGCCCTCGTTGAGCTCCTTGCGCACTTTGGGCTGAGCCAGCGAGATGATCCGGGGACTGGCCACCGCCTTCTTGGTGGCATCTAGTATCTCCCAGCGAGGATCTCGGTCAGGAACGCACTTGTCCGACTGGACTTTGGGCGCTAGAGGGGCAGGAGAGAGAGACAGCACCAGGGCTCAACCCTCTCGGCCACAGCACCCAGTTCAAAAGACCTGTGCCCTGGCGGAAGGATGGAGAACTAAAGCATGGCCAGTCGTGCAGTGGAACACTACTCCGCCACGAAAAGGGACGAGGCTCTGACACAGGCCACAGCATGGAGGGACTTTGAGGACATCGTGCTCAGTGAGAGACGCCAAACGCAGAAGGACACACAGTGTGAGACTCCATTTATATGAAATGTCCAGAACAGGCAGCTCCACAGAGACGGGACATGGATTCATGGTCGCCAGGGGCTGGGGAGGGGACAGGGAGTGACTGCTGATGGGGAGATGGTTGTACAACCCTGTGTGTATACTAAAAGCCGTTGAACTTCACTTTTTTTTTTTTTGAGACAGAGTCTCACTCTGTTTCCTGGGCTAGAGTGCCATTGCATCAGCCTAGCTCACAGCAACCTCAAACTCCTGGGCTCAAGTGATCCTCCTGCCTCAGCCTCCCGAGTAGCTGGCATACACCACCATGCCTGGCTAATTTTTTCTATATATTTTAGTTGGTCAATTAATTTCTTTCTATTTTTAGTAGAGATGGAGTCTCACTCTTGCTCAGGCTGGTTTCGAACTCCTGACCTTGAGCGATCCTCCCGCCTCGGCCTCCCAGAGTGCTAGGATTACAGGTGTGAGCCACCACGCCCGGCCTTGATGTGTAACTCTTTGTACTCAAGGCGTCCGTGTCTGCAGGGCTGTGTGCCTGAGACAGAGCGTGCGAGCCAGTCTAAGGCAGGGGCGCACATGGACTCGTCTGTCTCCATCGTCTAACCCCTCATTCAACAAATGTGAATGGAATGAACAAACAAGCAAAGACCCCACAAGCAAAGCTAAAAGATAAGATACACACTGGGAAGAAGTTGTTTTGTAAAGTGTTCAACAAAGGATTAGTAACCATCTTATATAAAGAGCTGCCCCAAATCTATAACCCAGAAAAACAGGCAGCAGGAAAATGGGAAGACTGCATGTTAATAGAAGAGTAAACCTGAATGGCCAACCGACTTCTCCTGCGACTGTGGTCAAGCACAGGGGATTTTCCTAAGCTCGGGGGCCTGGCACACAACAGACAGACACACAAATACGTCGTAAGTATGTCAGAAGGCTCACGGGTGCCCAGAGGTGGGCTCGGGTTGTGGGATGCAACGGGGCACTCAGAGCGGCCTCACGAGTGGGGGAAGCTGAGCCCAGCCCCAGTGGAGCGGAGGCGCAGCGGGAAGGCCTGCAGGAGTCTGGGCCCAGCGTTTCGGGCAGAGGGAGCGGCCAGTGCAGGAAGGGGGAGCCCGGAGAGGGCCGCGTGCACGCAGAGCGGATGCAGCCGGAGTCTGGCGAGGCCCCACTGGCCGCCCCGGGGGACAGAGGCTGCAGCAGGTGAGGGCGGCCCGGGGCCGGGCGGGCAATGGAGCTCGGCCAGGTGGGGGCCCCGGAACGTGCAGCCATGGGTCCCAGCTGTTCTGAAGGTGGAACCCAGGCGGTTTCAGGACAGATTGGATGTGGGTGTGAGAGTGGGCAGAGACAGGCCAGGAGGAGACGGGGGGCTCCTGGCGGGTGTGAACGGAACCTGCCCGCTGCACCCTCATGGCTGCACGCACTTGCATGCCCTGTGTGGACCCCTGGGGACACAGCACAGTGCATTACCTTCAGTGGTGGCATTAGAGGTTATTTTTACTGTCTTCGTTATGCTTTTCTGTATTTTCCAAATTCTCTACAATTAGTACATATTCCTTTTGTCATTGGGGGAAATGGGCATTTCATTTGTTCTAAGGACAGGAGGGACACAAGGCCAACAGCCTGATAAAGCTGCCTCGAACCTTGGCTCAGCTCTCTGGCCCCCGCACCCAACCTCCCTGCTAGGAAGCCCCTCAGACATGCCCTCTGCCTCTGGCCCACACCCCCTCTAATTTCTGCTGCTCTTCCCTGCGGGGACATTATTTCTGCCCGTTTCCAGGCAGGGCTTGAACTGTCCACAGGGACTTGGACAAGGGGATCCTAAAGAGCTGAGCCCCAGGGACCTCCTTACCGGCCAAGTGGAGGAGACGGTTGTAGTCTGAGGCGTGTGGCCTGGGCTTTGGCACAGGGTCCCACTCTTCCAGCAGGGTGGCTGGGACCCTGGGCTGTGACAACCGGATGATCCGTTGACTGGCGACCGCCGTCTGTGCAGCCCTGGACACCTGGGACACCTGGAAACGAAAGCAGAGGGAGGGAGTAAAGCAGCCCACGACGCCTCAGGGGTCCTGAAGCAAAAAGACCCCACAAACGGCACTGAGACCACAGACTTGCTGGGAAGAAGTTAAGTTTGTAATGTTTTCATCAGAGGATTAGTAGCTATCATATATAAAGAGCTCCTACACGTCAGTAATTCAAGAAACCAAAAATGAGCTAGGTAAATGACATAGGAGAGTAACCCTAAATGGCCAATAATCCTCTCTGTTGACTAGGGAAATGTAAATAAAAAGAACAAAAGACCACTCCCTGCCCATGTATTTGGCAAAAATGAGAAAGTCTGACATCAAGCCCTAGCGAGAATGTGGGAGGAGAGAAACGCTAGTGCTCCGCTGCTGGTAGGAGAGGGAGTGAGCACACGCACTTTGGAGAGCAGCTTGTCCACCTCAACTGACGTTCTGATTGAAGGAAGCCAGCACAGTGACGTGCACTGCCACTCAGTTACCACGCACATGGCAGAGACCAGCCAGCTGCCATCAGATGGGGACTGCGTGAGCCAATTGTGATATAGTCACCCGACAGAATGCAACCCAGAAGAAAAACTACTTTTTCTTCTTTCTTCTTTTTTCTGGGACAGAATCTCGATTTGTTGCCCAGGCTAGAGTGAGTGCTGTGGCGTCAGCCTAGCTCACAGCAACCTCAAACTCCTGGGCTCAAGTGATCCTCCTGCCTCAGCCTCCCGGTAGCTGGGACTACAGGCATGCGCCACCATGCCCGGCTAATTTTTTCTATATATTTTTAGTTGGCCAATTAATCTCTTTCAATTTTTAGTAGCGATGGGGGTCTCGCTCTTGCTCAGGCTGGTCTTGAACTCCTGACCTTGAGCAATCCACCCACCCCGGATTTCCAGAGTGCTGGGATTACACCCACCACGCCCGGCCTAGACTGAACTTTTAACAAAATACTGAAGTAAGGTTGTTCTAATGCAGAGTGTGGGCAGGAAGCGTTGGGATCCAGTCTGAAGCGACATGGCCAGGGAAGGATGGCCCCTGAGCCAGTCTGCAGACGGGGCGAGGTGAAAATGCAGTTTTCCCTGAACGAGGGCTGGCAGGGACCGCGGTCATGCTTGTCCTGCTCTGGTCCCCTGGGGTCCCCCAACTCCTAGAGGCCTTGTTCACCACCCACCCCTTTCCCAGCCACAGAGGGCGGTGCGGGTCCCAGGGAGCCCACCTCAGACATGTTGATGCTCCAAATGTTGTTCCGCATCTTCGGGACGGCCAGTTCCTTCAGGCGACTGGACGCTTGGTATTCCAAGGTGGACCGAGGAATGGGCCAGATGGGCGTGGTCCTAAGGGGCGTCCACATTTCAGACCCCAGCCCAGCCAAGGGAGAGTGCGCATGCGCGTGTGTGCGCCTGCGCGTGCGCGTGTGTGCGCCTGCGTGTGCGCTGTGTGTGCGCGTGTGTGATCGCTCTCAGCTTCTGTGTCTGGGGAAAAGTGAGAACCCAGGAAAGCAGGGCGTTTTGCAAACATCTGCAAGGGGGTTCACAAGAGATCTCCCAAGAGAAGCTCCCGAGTTCCCGGGGACAGAGCCGCCCTCTGCCGAGGTTGTCCCAGCTCAGTGGGGGGAGGGGTCCAGTCCTCCCCACCCCGTCCCTGTCCCCGTGGCCGACAGGGCTCTGAGGGCCCCTCCCACACCCCATCATCGAGAGCCCGGTGAGGACGGGGACCCCAGGAGGAGAGCGCGTCCTGCCGCAGCCTCGAAGAAGGGGAAGGTGAACCCAACCGAGCTCGTGGGTCTCGGCGACGCCTCTGCCCAGAAGTAAAGCCGCGTTTGGGGATTCTAGGGCAGGCTTTTTTCACGCTTCCACGTGTCTGAGGTTGGGACAGCTTAGAGACGCCGCCAGCCAGACGGCAGACGCTCGCTCGCTCGCGGCGATCGCGCCCGTGCGTGCCCAGAGTAGCTGTTCACACCGAAAGCATCGTGTGCATTGTTGGCCCCACAGGAGTTAAGTTTAATTGCAGTTTAAGCAAATTGTCTTCAGATTACAATATGATTCAGAATTAAAATAAAAAGTTATTGTGCACAAATACAGGCGTGAAACCGGCATGTGGAAGAACACCCACATCAACATCTCCGAGTTGAAAGTGATTCTAAACAGTTAGACACGCTTCGCCTATTTCAGTCCTACCTTCCTTGATGTGTGTGCATAATTAAAATCTGTGTCTAAATAACTCTAAAGATCACTTTTAACAAGCCTGGAGGTTCTACGTGCTGAGAAAACATTGTGCACGTAAATTAACAATGTCTTGCAATTTCTAGCTTTTTAGAGTCAACAGACAGTGCTAACGGTGACAATATCTGAGCGCTTTAGCAGGGGTCCTCAAATGTTTTAAACAGGGGGCCAGTTCACTGTCCCTCAGACCCATTGGAGAGTGAGCACTGTGGGACGAGTCGGCTGCTAAGCAGGACAGGCAGGGGTGGCAAAAACACTCTGCGGGCGGGCGGGATAAATGTGCTAGGCCTGTGGCCCTAGGGCCGTAGTTTGAGGACGCCTGACTTAGCGTGTCAGGCAGGGCGCTACTCGCCTTGCATTTGTGACCTGCACCCCCGCCCACTACACAGGTGGGGACGAGGTGAGGGGTCGGGCAGCCCCAGTCTGAACTTGGGCTACCTGACCCCGGGACCCTGCGACCTGGGGCCCTGCCCACGCCACACCCTGTCAGGGGGGGGGAAGCTCCTGCCAAGCTCCAGAGCCGCCCCGCCTCCTTCCCCACCTGTTGTTGTTGTAATACTCCAAGTAGAACCTCCTGGGCCGAGACAGTTCCTCCACGCGGCGCGATACCGCTGTGCAAAGTGGGAAGCAGGCGGTGAGCCCCGGCTCGGGGCGGGGGCCGGGGGTTCTCTGGCTGTGGGTTTCAGCTCACCCAAGGCCAGGGCAGGAGGCCCCACTGGCGTCCCTGCCCACAGTAACTCGGACACTTTGTAGAGAGGTGACTTTCACTGTCCCATTTTGGGGACAGCGGGCTCAGAGGCCTGGGGCTCGGGGCTTATGGGGAGTGGAGGGCCCCGCTGCTCCCTGGCTCAGTGTGGACGGCGGCTTCAGGCCTGCAGTCAGTACAGACCCACGTCTCTGGGGCTCGGTGAGCACAGTGGGGGCGGTCAAAGCCCCAGGAGGGAACTGCCTTGCGACCTCCCTCCTACACTGAGCTTTCTGGAACTGTCCCTGTGAAGGTACCCGGGCTCTCACAGAAGCGTGGAAGCCGTGAGGCAGGGAAGGGTCTTCTTGCAGAGTAAATACTGGCCCACTCGGACTTCTCCTGGCGAGTTCGCCCTGCATTCTCCCCCTGACCAGGGCGGTCCGGAGTGTGTCCGGAGGGGGTGGGGTGGGGGAGGGGAGGCTAGGGTGGAGGCCATGGGCGACGTCCCTGGAGAGCGGCCAGGCCCTGGGGCGGCTCGGGCTCACCTACCGGGCACGGTGATGGCCAGTGTGGTGTCCTCGAGGAACCGCTCAGTCCAGTACACCGAGGGCCTGGAAGAAGCAGCAGCTCAGGGCGCGGAGGTAGAGGCCCGGCCGTGCTGCCCCCTGCAGCAGGAGGCGGCTGCCCCTGAGCGAGCGAGCGCCCTGGGGCGGCTAGAGGAGGGAGGGCGCTGGGTGGGAAGGACAGTGGGGGAGGCCTGTCTGGGGGCCTCTGGGGCATGGAGACTGTTTTGAGCAAGGCTGATGTTCAGAGAAGGGGTGGCTGGAAAAAAAGTGTGACTAAGAAGAGGGCCCAGGGCCATCTGCCAGGAGCAGCTGCCCGGGTGGAGGCCAAAGCGCAAGGGTGGCGCCAGGAATGGCCCTGGGGTGAGGGGGCGCCTTCCCCCATCCTGTCCTGGAGAGAAGAGGGTGGCTCCAGTGAAGGGTCCCCTGGAACCTGGGCGGATGGAGGAGACCCCCGGACTTACCAATAGAGACAGAACTGCAAGTTCATGTTGCATGGGGTAATCCAGGCATAGCCCTTACAACGGCATCCCATCCTGCGATGAGACAGGGTCCCAGCCCCCACTGCCTTTGCTCCCAAGTGCCTCACTCTCCTTTAGCCGCCCCCAGAGGGCCACTGCCGGCCACGGTTCCCAGCAAGTCCCCACCTCTGGCGTCTGGACTTCTCACCTCCCTGGGCAGCCTCCTTAGCTGGCCAAGCCCCGCCTGCCCGGAGTTGACGCATGGGGTGTCAGTGGGACAGGGGAGCCCAGGAAGAACGCAGAGGGGACCATGGGCGCCCTTGTCCTCTGCCCCCCCCATAGCAAGGCCCTGGCCCGGCCTCACCTGTCCTTCACGACTTGCCAGTTGGTCTTGGGTTTGGCCAGCTCGGAGAGCCGCTTCCTCTTCCTCACTTTGGTCACGGAGGTCCTGGGAAACCTCTGGCTGATGGACAGCCGGCTTTGGGACAATTGGGTGTGGGGTTGGAGCTGCCCTTCCTCCCCAGCGCGTTTGGGAGCCCTCGCCCTGCCCACGCCCGCGCAAATCTCCTCTCCCTCGGGCTCTCTGGGGGGGATTTCTGCCCCGCAAAGGCCTGAACTGACGCCCCAGCTCCGCAGCTTGCTAGAGGGGGCCCCGGCCAGGACATCTGACGTCCTTGCAGGCTTGTATCCAGCCTCCCCGAGTGCCAGGCCCCAGGCTGCAAAGAGAGCAGCTCCTGCCTCCCAGAAAGCAAATAGACCACGAGAGAAAAAGAGGCAGCAGAGGACGACAAGAACGGGACGTTAAATGCCAAGACATCCGCCTGTCTCCTCGCTCAGCTCAGCTCTTGGCTCAAATGGCCTCCCCGGAAGGCCCCTCACGCTCCCGGCTGTTTTCTCCACAGGCCGGGGTGAGGGCTGGGGACAGCAGAGCCCGTGAGCAGGGACACTGCTCGCTCCTGGATGGCTCGGGGAGGGGGGGAGCCCCAGGCCCTCCCTGCACTGCGGCTGGAGGGGACGGCCAGGCAGGCCCAGAGGCCGAGCTGAAACTGCACCCCACAAATTCATCAGGGTGTCATCACCTACAGCGTTCCTCCTGACCATTTCTGGCCGTTTGAGGAGCCCAGGATGGTTTCAACTTTGGAGTTGGGAAACTTTTTTCCATTTCCTTTTCTCTCTGACTTGAGGGCTGTCACTCTGGCATCTGCACTCTGTCTGACTCCAGAATTGTCACTTTTTACTCTACCTCCTGCCACCTGGGTAGGGCTGTGTGTGCTGCCTTTTGCCTCAGAGGCCAGCGGCCCCTGATCACCGCAGACTGACTCTGCAGGGGTCCCGGGGACAGCAGACCAGGCACCACCCCTTTCCACGGCCCAGGGACCTGCACAGGTGGGGGGGGGCCGGGTGGGAACTGCTGCTGCCACATCTGAGCCCCACCTGCGCCCACGGGGCAGGCCTGGCCCCTCCGCCCACCTCATTTCAGGAACATCGTCCTCTAGGCCTTTGTCCAGAACCCTCTCCAGCTCCAGAAGTGCCTCCTCCGGGTTCTGGGCGTCCAGCTCCTCCCCAGCCACCTCCTCGGGCGGGATCTCCTCCTCCTGGCCATCGGCTCCCGCACCCTCATCGTCTAGGTCCCTGGACCGCCGGCTCTCGAACACGGCACTCTGGAGGCCAGAGTCGTCATCGTCCTCCCTCCTTTCCGAGTCGCGCCTGAGCTCAGGGATGAGGTGGCTGTTGAGTGAGCCTCGCCAGGTGTCCCCCATGCGCTGGGTGCCCTTCCCAGACCCTGCAGCCTCGCTCCCTCAACACCCAAGTGGATCTGTGGCCACCGCGGCAACGGGAGAAGGTCCAGCCCACGGGTTCCGCCACCCGCATTCTAAGCCCAGACGGCCCGCACACGCTGCCGCCCCGGCTCCAGCCTCCACGTCTGCTTAGGGAAAAGCCCCACTTGTGCTGGGATCAGCCGTTGGTTCTGGTGGTCACAGCTCACCAGGGGTCCTGCCCCCTCCCAGGATTGCTTTGGGAACGAGACCTGAGGGGGAACCGCAGAGGCGCCCAGGGGCGGCTTCCCCTCTCTTATGCGGAGGCACAAGGAAGAGACCACGCCTCTTCCTCCTGGTTGCCGTGGGGCCTGTTGTAATGTCTGGAGCTCAGCAGCCGTCTTGTGAGCGTGAGGCCTGCCGGTGTGAGGACAGGCGGGCTGGACGCTGGGTCTCTGATGGCATTGCTGAGCCTCCAGGTGCAGCAGCCTGGAGTCGGCTCTGTGTCTGGGCTTCCCGATACTTAAAACAACTAACTTCCTTAGTACTAAGTCGCCGTGGCTGGGTTTTTAGTTCCTTCCTCCTGATTTGGCCTGGCCACCCGTCAGGAAAGAGGGTTTCCTGGGCGCGGTGGCTCACGCCTGTGATCCCAGCACTCTGGGAGGCCGAGGCAGGAGGATCGCTTGAGCTCAGGAGTTTGAGACCAGCCTGAGCAAGAGCAAGACCCTGTCTCTACTATAAAATAGAAAGAAATTAGCCAAACAACTAAAAATAGAAAAAGTTAGCCGGGCATGGTGGCACATGCCTGTAGACTCAGCTACCAGGGAGGCTGAGGCAGGAGGATCGCTTGAGCGCAGGAGTTTGAGGTTGCTGTGAGCTAGGCTGACGCCACATCACTCTAGCCAGGGCAAGAGAGTGAGACTCTGTCTCAAAAAAAAAGAAAGAAAGAAAGAAAGTAAAGGAGAACCAGAAATGGGCTGCAGCGTGTGTGGGGCTGTCACACAGTGCTGGGGCGCGGTACCCACGGGGCAGGAAACACAATCGGGTCCTCCTACCTCTGTTTTCTGTTGCTGCCATAACACATCGCCACCAATTGAGAGGCTTACACAGCACTCACTTGTTACCCGACAGTGCTGGAGTCAGAGGCCCAAAGCGGAGCTGCCTGGGCTCGAACCCTGGTGTGGGCAGGGCTGGTTCCTCCTGGGGCTCCGGGGAGGGCCTGCAGCTGCTCGCCCGGCTGCCGGCCACCGCCTCCTTGCAGGCGGTGGAGACCCCGTGCTCCGTCTCCACAGCCGGCAGCAGCCAGTCGAGGTCCTCTCACACTGGGGCTGTCTGCGACTTCGTCCCATCTCTCCACCCAGAACTGGGAAAGAGCCTCACCCTTCCTCATTTTTTGAATTAGCGCCCTCTGGATTATCCAAGCTGACCTGACTGTGAATCGGGCTGTCGCCTTACTCACACCCTCCAAGCCCCCTTTGCCCTGTGAAACGACATGTTCCCGGCATCAAAGTCAAACAAAACTAGAGATGCATTTTTACGCAAAACGTTTTATTATTTGGGAAAATATGTAAAAATAGAATTGCCATTTGGCACATACGCACAGACCACGTGGTCTTTGGAATGTCTGAAGAACAAAGAGAAGGTTGGGGGGAGTATTTTTTTAATTTTAATTTAATTTTTTTTTTTTTTGAGACAGAGTTTCACTTTGTTGCCCAGGCTAGAGTGAGTACTGTGGCCTCAGCCTAGCTCACAGCAACCTCAAACTTCTGGACTCAAGCGATCCTCCTGCCTCAGCCTCCCAAGTAGCTGGGACCACAGGCATGCGCCACCATGCCCGGCTAATTTTTTCTATATATATTAGTTGGCCAATTAATTTCTATTTATAATAGAGACGGGGTCTCGCTCTTGCTCAGGCTGGTTTCGAACTCCTGACCTGGAGCAATCTGCCCGCCTCGGCCTCCCAGGGGGGTTTTATTAAAAAGAGAAATGTTACATATTGTTTTGAAAGAAAACTTGCGGGCACTAGGGAAGCTTCTGGGGGCTGGCAAGGCCTGAGTGGCGACCACAGCGGCAGAACGAGTCTCCGCGCTGTGGCGGGTCGCTTGGGCAGCTGCTGGGGGAAGCTGGCGTCAGAGCAGTCCCTAGGCAGGTGCCTGTGCCCGAGGGACTGAGCCGGGTGACACAAGGCAACGTCAATGGACACGGCCAGTTTTCACACCAGGTTCCGGGGCTCAGCACGTGGACACCTTTGGGGGACATTATTCTCCTGCCACGCCTGCCTCACGCCACGCACACAAGCAAATCCGACGTGCATTTGGGATTCGAATGCCAAAACAAAACTTTAGAAAACTGTCGAGTTTTTTTTCTTTTGTGACCATCTTTTTGCCATTGAGGTAAGGAAGGAGTTTTCTTTAGCAAGACATATAAAGTGCCAATCATAAAGGAGCAATAGGTTCAAGCATATTAAATTTGCACTTGTACAAATGGGAAAATAAGCCACAAATTAGTTGGAAGACTATATTTGCCACATAGTAACTGATAAATGCCAACCCATAGCATAAGTAACTCCTGTAGGTCAATAAGAAAAAGGTCAGGCCGGGCACGGTGGCTCACACCTGTAATCCTAGCATTCTGGGAGGCCGAGGCTGGAGGATTGTTTGGGCTCAGGAGTTCGAGACCAGCCTGAGCCAGAGCAAGACCCCATCTCTACCAACAAAATAGAAAGAAATTAGCTGGACAACTAAAATATATATATATATATATATATATATATATAAATTAGCCAGGCATGGTGGCACATACCTGTAGTCCCAGCTACTCGGAAGGCTGAGGCAGGAGGATTGTTTGAGCCCAGGAGTTTGAGGTTGCTGTGAGCTAGGCTGATGCCACAGCACTCTAGCCTGGGCAACAGAGTGAGGCTCTGCCTCAAAAAAAAAGAAAAAGAAAAAAGTCAGCCTCCTGAGTTGCTGGGACTATGGCTGTGAGCTGCCACACCCAGCCTGGAGCCCATATTCTAAAGGGATAAAAAGACAACAAATTCATTAAAAATGCAATACAGACACACTCTAAGAGGCTGAGGCAGCAGGATCGCTTAAGCCCAGAAGTTGGAGGCTGCAGTGAGCTATGATGACACCACTGTACTCCAGCCTGGGCGACAGAGAGATACCCTGTCTCAATTAAAAAAACAAAAAGAAGGGCCGGGTGCGGTGGCTCACACCTGTAATCCTAGCTCTCTGGGAGGCCGAGACAGGCAGATTGCTCAAGGTCAGGAGTTCGAAACCAGCCTGAGCAAGAGCGAGACTTCGTCTCTACTATAAATAGAAAGAAATTAATTGGCCAACTAATATATATAGAAAAAATTAGCCGGGCATGGTGGCGCATGCCTGTAGTCCCAGCTACTCGGGAGGCTGAGGCAGGAGGATTGCTTGAGCCCAGGAGTTTGAGGTTGCTGTGAGCTAGGCTGACGCCACGGCACTCACTCTAGCCTGGGCAACAAGTGAGACTCTGTCTCAAAAAAAAAAAAAAAAGAAGAAGAAGAACATGGGCTACAATAGTGTAGAGACTCTGCTTATCTTGTTCATGCCTGGAGCCAGCGCCAAGAATGGAATTTCGGGAAGTATCTTGAATAAGTACATGGAGAAAAACGCAATACCACATGATGACCACAAGATGCCGCCCCACTCCAGCCAGGGCTGCACTTGCAAACAGTGGCACAGAAAGACTTTGAAGGATGCTAAGAAATCGGTCTGGACAGAAAAAGCATTGAACAGAGATCGTGGATGAAGCAGTGCCTTCCTGGGTCTAAACCAATTTCCCTGGAGTCCAGGCACAACTATGCCCTTCCCTTACTCAATAACCTTCTCTGTCTCCCACTGTCTATATAGAATGTTTCCCAAAGGAGTGACACAGACTGGCGTCTTCAGAGTGATTTTAAGTGGTGGCATACAAGGCCCAGGATTAATAACAGCAAACAATGTGATGAGAAATCACTTCCCTTTTCCTTTTTTTTTTGAGACAGTCTCACTCTGTTGCCCAGGCTGGAGTGCAGTGGCATCTCCGTAGCTCACTGCAGCCTCCAACTCCTGGGCTCAAGCAATCCTCCTGCCTTATCCTCCTGAGTAGCTGGGACTACAGGCACCACCATACCCAGCTAAATTTTCTACATGCTGGTCTGGAACCCCTGACCTCAAGCAATCCTCCTGCTTCGGCTTCCCAGAGCACTAGGATCACAGGTGTGAGCCACTAGGCCTGATCCCTTTTCCTTTAATTCCAATCCTCTGGCTACCTCAAGGAGAAAGTCTCAGTTTGGTACTAATAAAAGTTTAACTCTCCATAGTATTGTTAATTCTTTTTAACAAAGAGAATAGGCCCAAGCCTGAGGTAGGCCATAACAGCTGGAATTTAAATAATCTGTTAAAACTTCATTGGTGGCCAGGTGCAGTGGCTCACGCATGTAATCTTAGCACTCTGGGAGGCTGAGACAGGAGGATTGCTTGAGCTCAGGAGTTTGAGATCAGTCTGAGCAAGAGTGAGACCCCTTCTCTACTAAAAATAGAAAAAAAAAATCCAGGCATGGTGGCAAGTGCCTGTAGTCCCAGCTACTCGGGAGGCTGAGGCAGGAGGATCGCTGGAGCCCAAGAGTTTGAGGTTGCTGTGAGCTAGGCTGACGCCACGGCACTCTAGCCCAGGCAAGAAAGTGAGCCTCTGTCTCAAAAAAAAAAAACCTACAAACTTCATTGGTGTTTGTTTGCACACCTTTCTTTCTTGGTTGTGTTGTTGTTGTTATCTTGAAATAATTGCAAATTTTCCAGAAAAGCTGTGAGAGTATGCTAAGAACTGCCACGCACCCTTCACCCAGAGCCACCAGCTGACGTTTTGCTGCGTGGCTTTGCCCTCCGTCTCTGCGTTTGCTCTTGAACACCTGAAGCCAGGTGCAGGCATCCCGCCCTCTATCCCGGAACCCTCCAGGGCGTGTTTCACTGAACAAGAATGTTCTTGTACAGAACCACGGCATGACTGTCAAACCCAGAAAAAAGCAGCATGACTAAATACTATTGCCTAATCAAA